TGATCTTCTTTTTATACAAAAAAGATAAGATTCTTCTACAACATGCACGAGATATTAAAAAGCTGTTTGGTTTCCATTTTCAAAACTTCTCTTAATTAAAAAAAAAACAGTTGGATTGATTAAGTTATATTTGAATAATTTTTCTTATTTTTTAAAAATAACAAATATGGAAAACATCAGCACCCTATTTCTGTTCCCCCGGGTTTTGAAAAATTAATTGTGGAATGAGAATCTAAATTTGATGACTGTACTTAGTGAATGCCTATATCATCTGAACTTTTAAAATTTAAATCAATCGTTTAAATAAAGTTATTTATTTATTAATCTTAAGTGAGGTATGAATTTAAAATTATTGGTTTAAATTTCAATAATTTAAATGCTATATGCATTTAATATTTGTATTAAACACAATTATCAAATTTAAATTCAAACGATTGTACAATTGTTTAGTTTCCATGATGGCGCATTTGTAATTAGTTGCGATTACGTTGTAGGGGTCGCTTTGCACTCATCACTGCCATCTGCCGCTCTTTCTCTTCGTGGCTCCCTCGTCTCCTGCCTCTTTCACTGAGTCTGAGCTGCTTGCCGGTTACCTCAAACCTTCATCTATTTATTCTCATCTTTGTCTCCATCATCTATGTTGAGGCGCTCTTTCACTTCGGTAATCGAACGCTGGTCTAAGGCATTCCAATTCTCTGCCCCGTTTTACCCTTAAAAATCACACAATCCTTGTTAAAGACATTGAAATGATAGAAGATGTTCGATTTTTTTTTTCAAGATGTTAAAAAATTAAATATTGAATATTTTCAACATTTAACTTTTAATTTTATTCGCTACGACATATATATGCGTTAAATGGGACAATCCACGCAACGATTACGCACCAATCAAACAATCCCGTCTTTATTTCTTAACGTGCCAGCATAAGTGTAGGTTAAATGATTCATCTCCTTTGGCCTGCGACACATGGCGGGTTAACCTGTTTAATTTGATGAGATTAAGCCAAAAAAATAGTGAATTGATGCTCCAATCAATAAAAAAAAAATGTTGTTTAAGGATGACTTGAGACACTCAATGCTGGTTTAAAAAAAATAAAATAAAAGGACGATCTCTCCAGATAGTTTGAAGGAAAATACAGGTGACACGCATGGCAAAAGTTGTTAGAAGCAGCAAGCCGAGGAAGAAATTTAGGCGGACATGACAATACAGTGAGATGTATGTGAAGAACGACACTAATAACGGAAGTGTTGTGACAAAATATTGGCATTTTACAACTGTTTTTTTTCTTTAAAAACTGTTGGTTGTTTTTAAAAATAAAAATAATTTAAAAATTTATTTGGATAATTGTTTTTCATTTAATTATTTTTAAAATTATTTTATTTTTTCTAAAACAAAAAAATAAAACAACTTTAAGTTGTTTTCATTTTATTTTTCTTGTTTTTAAAGTACGCTACAATTGATTATTAAAAATTATAATTAACTTGATCAATTTTTATTATTAATCACTATCATTAATTTTTTATAATCATTATTATCAGTCTGTTTTTTTAACTCTAATAAAACTATTTTCAATTGATATAACTAAATAAATTTTCATTTTATTTTGTTTTAAAACTAAAAATAAGAGGAGAAACCAAATAGGCCTTGAGTCCCACATTGAAAGAATTACATTGGTGGAGTGTAGTTTATAAATTAATTAGATGTCTTCCCTTTATGAGATGTTTTTTGGGAGTAAGTTATAATCAAAGAATTTGTCATCATAACATTGATGTTTTGATTGAGAATTGTTGTTCGCAAAAAAAAACCCCATACTAAGAGGCTGATTGGCCAAAGGCCGTGTGAAGTAAAGAGTCGTGGATACAAACTTTTGAAAGGTAATATGAGACTCGTATCGAGAGATCATATTAATAAAATGTGATTTATAAATTTATTAGGTATTCTCTTTCTATGAGCCGCCTTTTAGGGGTATTTAACATTCTTTTCACGTTGTATTTGTTTTTCAGACTTCACGTGCTGTATATGTATAAATGTGTTATGAATCTTCCAAAAATTTTAACAAGATTTCATCTCGCTTCAAGACTTGCCACGTGCTGTGTTCATACCCGCTTCTTCGATATAATGGATTTCAGGCCTGGCACTATTCGAATTTGTTGTCGTCACCCTAGAATAACGTTTTCCCTGGGTTGGAATTTTCTTTTGATGTTAGTTAAATATAAATTTTACATGTCATAATGTGAATCACAAATTATACAAATCACATCAGATTTTATATATGCAAACGCATAAAAAATCACATAATGGAATTTGTCTATGCAGGATAGCGTTTTTAGTGTATTCGGGGTTAAAACAGGAGTAATTATTCTTATGCATACTTGTTAATAACTTTTTTTATTGAATATTAATTGGATAATTTTATTTTTTATTTTTGGGGGTGGGGGCGCACCTAGACAATATTGCATTGCCGATGGGTGATTGAAAATAAGGGATGGGTGTTTTGTGATTAGAGGAGTTCGAGTCTAATCTGTTGGTAAGTACAGTCATGTCGAAAGGTAAAATTAAGGGTTAGGCGGGATTGGATATTTAGATGTAGCTCTTTGAAATTTTGAGTATAAAAAGACTTTTGAGACACTAATAAGCTCGAAAAATATGAAAATAACACATTTTGATGGGTATTTATTATGGCGATGAAACTAAAATGGGTGAAATCATTAAGATAACACCTCCACCTCCAACAGATAAGCCTATTTTTAAAGGGTCAAATATTTTGTTTCTGAATGAGAGATAAGGATTAAGACATATTTAATTTTCTATTTGTCTTTAAAAATTCATATTTTAAAAACATGGGTTTGTATTATTCAGTTTAGATTTAAGAACTTGAATTTGTATAACGCAAACTAGACTCTAGATATTTTGTGCCAGAAAAAAAAAAAAAAGATTCTAGATACTCATTTCCAGTCCCTTTTTTTGGCCAAAAGAGAAATTTCCTGGCCCTTTAAAGTTTGGATACGTGCCATGATAATCAGAAGTTCAAATTAAAAATATTATTCAAGCTCTGAGCCGATTTCTAAACCTGATCAATTTAGGCTAGGGTTGAAAAAATAGTCAAAATCAAGGAAACATGGCTTTTGAGTCTAAGCACATGTAATTACCTAGCACGGATGAATTAGGTTGGCCATTTTCAATCTCTAATTAGACAAGAGTTGAATTGTGTTAGCCAGATTTCTTATTTCAACTCAAAGTATAACTTACAGAATACAATGAATGATGGGAAATTCCACGATTTCAGTTTTATCATGGATTGGAGATCGATTCTAACAAGGCGGCAAATGCTCTGCTTATTTTGGCAGTAACATCGGGCAGTAATTTTCTTTTCTCTTTTTTTAATAAACTGCGAGAGCTTTTTTCCTGTGCATTTACTGGTTAGTGCCTTGGTTGTTACTTAAACCCAAGGACTCGAGATTGGTTACCGGTTATCGCCGGATGCAGATCCTCTCAAAAGCAGTTTGCCTCAGCGTCCCAATCTGGTCCCTTGAATAAATATCCAATGATTTATATTTTGCTACATCATCGCATATAAAAAAAAATTATTTCATTAAATTGATGTTTTTATTTCATTTTTTATTTTTAAAATTTGTTCTAAAAACTCTAACTTGACTTATTTAACAAAAATTTATTTAAAATTTTTTACAAATTAAATTAGAATATAAGCAGGTACTTATAGTATGATTTATTTAAACTCTAGCATGATCTATTTAACAAAAATTTATTTTTAAAAAATTATAAAATAAATTAGACTGTAAGCAAATACTGATGATATAACTTATTTAAACTTTGATTTGATATATTTAATAAATAATTATTTAAAAAATCTAAAGAGAAATTTGTTAGAATAAGGTGAAAGAATTATTTTTTAAAATAAAATTATTTTTATATAAAATAATGTGGTAAAATATGGAGCATTGAACATTTATTCAAGGTATCAGATTGGGACGCTGAGAGACGCTGGGGCAAACCGGAGAGGATCTGCATCATAAAGTTGTTATCACCAGCTGCAACCCGTCACATTATTTGTTATTTTGTTCGCAGCAGATCACTTTATCATCAGAGAAAAAGAAAATTTCGCATCTTATCTTATATTTTACATTCATATTCCCCCCACTTCATTTCATTGTGTTCATCAGATAAAGAAAAAAAATTATAAATATAACAAACGTAATACTCCTTCAGCTTCTTTCAAATATTTTGATAAAAATGAAATATTATTATCAATACTTTTCCAACATTGTCCTTTTTAAAATATTTTTAACATTTTTTTACAATTAGAATATTAAATAAAAGTTTTTGTTGTATTTTATTTTGAAAAATAAAGTTATAAAATATATTTAATAACTTTTATTACTATTCATTATTTTATCTAAAAATATCTCATAAATTAAAATGTACTTCTTTTGTTAAAAACTGTAAAGCATTTTTAATTAAATCTTATCCTCTAATAAAATAGTTACTTATTTTTTAATTAACTCTATTTTTTTATATTTACCTCTATTAAATATCCTATAATAAATATAAAGTTATTATCAATAGAAATACTTTTAAAAAAAATAATAATTACACCTCAAAAGATTAAAAATATATTATATTTTTGAACATTCGACTTCTTAAAAAATACATTATTTTTTAATAGAGAAAATATTGATAACAATATCTTATTTTAAAAATATCTGATAAATTAGTCTAAAAATAAACTGAAAAATATTATTACATATTAATTTGTGATTTTAAAAATATCTGTCGCATGAAATTTTTTTAAAAAAAGTAAATATAATTAAAAGGATCGAGAACTGCGATGCCATTTGAAAAAAATTGTTAGCAGAAACCTAGTGAGTTAAACCTGGGGAAGAGAGAGAAAGACGAGATGCGTCGCCAGCTGTGAAGGCGAAGGACGAAGGCTTTTCCATAAGGGTCAAAGCTGTCCATTTTTCTTTCAAGGCTTTTACTCTACGCTCCCTCCTTCTCTCTCTCCCCGCACCATCTCCCCAAATATTTACATGAATTCATTTCCTTCGTCGCCCTCTTCCCAGTCCTGAACCTCTCTTGCTCATCCTTCTGCCTATATATTTCTCTCCCTTCATTATTAGAGCGCAGGAAATATGTGCTTGCTTTAAGTGCGGAACGGGGGAGAGAGAAAGCCACCTTCGCAATTTCATGTTCCAGTCCAACATTCAATCTTCTTCTGCTTCATTCCATCATGGCCGTCGCTACTCCCTCCCCCAACGCTTCCGACAAGAAGCACTGGTGGCTTACCAACCGTAAGGTTAATTTGCTTTCCCCCACTCTGTTCTTTCAATGTCTCTGAATTTCTGTTTTCTTCCTGCAAATTAACGTCTCCTTGCTTGTGTCTGTAGATTGTTGAGAAACACATTAGAGATGCTCGCGCCCTGATTGCCACCCAACAGCAGAGCGAAATCGCTTCGGCTCTGAACCTTCTAGACGCGGCTCTGGCCATCTATCCGCGCCTAGACAAAGCCCTGGAACTCAAAGCCAGGTCTCTTCTGTTTCTGCGGCGGTTCAAGGAGGTGGCCGATATGCTTCAAGACGACATTCCGAGCCTCAAAATGACCAGCGAAGACTCGGCCTCCTTTTCTACTGATAATTCGTCGCAACAGTTTTCCAGGGAGGGGTTGATGCTCCTTTCATCCTCATCCGAGTTGTCGGGTCGGGATCAGAGTTTCAAATGCTTCTCTGTATCGGACTTGAAGAAGAAAGTCATGGCAGGACTGTTCAAAAGCTGCGACAAAAAAGCGCAGTGGAGGTAAATTAACATCCTTTTACTCTCTTCCTGTTCCATCGTTTTTAGCCTCTAAACCCGACCCTGTTTTTCGGCTCCATTTAATTTGGATTCTCTTCAGTTTAGCTTTGGCTAGTAATGTCTGCATTTATGTCTGAAACCAGATCGGTGTTCATGTTACACTGATTAAATGATCGTGCCAGCTATCATGAATTGGTTTCTAATACATGATTTTTAAAATGTAAAACACACAAATTGCTTACTATTATGATTTTTCCGCATGTGCAATGTGCAATGCTGTTACTGTTCCTTAGTGATGAATTTTTTTTAATTAATTTGAATTTGAATTTCAATATCAATAGATAGATAAATGAAATCGTTGGCTCCAACCGAAACGCTATGATTTTTCTCAAATGAAAAAAAAAAACTAAATAAAAGTAACGGGTTCGTGTCGAATGTCCGCAGATTTCATATATTACAAAGCTCGTTCTTGAAGATTGTTACTCAACTCCGTTTTTACAGTGTGCTCGTTTAGTTTCTTAGAAATGAGATGTGGGTCGCAAATCGTAAGTTGTTGACTCTGTTTCTCAATCTAATGCAAATTACAGGTACTTAATTCTGGGCAAAGCATGCTGCCATCTAGGTCTAATGGAGGATGCAATGGTTCTTCTACAAACAGGTAAACGCATTGCCAGTGACGCCTTCCGCCGCGAAAGCGTTTGCTGGTCTGAAGACAGCTTCTTCTTAACAGCAATCACCTTCTCCGGGGACGCCTCCAACCCAACACCCTCCACTCCTCACAAAACACCTCTCACCGAGTTCGAAGGCATCACCCAACTCCTCAGCCACATCAAGCTCCTCCTCCGACGTCGCACGGCGGCACTAGCCGCCCTCGATGCTGGTCTCTACTCTGAAGCCATTCGACACTTTTCCAAAATCGTTGAAGGCCGCCGCAACGTGCCGCAAGGTTTTCTCGCCGAGTGTTATATGCTCAGAGCCTCCTCCTACCGCTCTGCCGGTCGAATTGCAGAGTCCATTGCTGACTGTAATCGGACTCTGGCGCTCGACCCGTCTTGCATTCAAGCTCTCGATACCAGAGCCTCCCTCCTGGAAACAATTCGATGCTTGCCGGATTGCTTGCACGACCTTGAACACTTGAAACTTCTGTATAATTCGATCCTGCGGGATAGAAAGCTTCCAGGTCCTGCTTGGAAGCGTCACAATGTGAGGTACAGAGAAATTCCTGGGAAACTCTGCACTCTCACCACTAAAATCCAAGAACTGAAACGAAGAGTGGCTTCTGGAGAAACTAACAACGTGGATTACTATGCTCTGATTGGGTTGCCACGTGGGTGTTCTCGTTCGGAGCTGGAGAGAGCTCATGTATTGCTTTGCTTACGACACAAGCCTGATAAAGCTTTCAACTTTATTGATCGGTGCGAGCTAGCGGACGAACGTGATCTTGAATCAGTTAAGGAAAGAGCTAAAATGTCAGCTTTGTTACTTTATAGATTGCTTCAGAAGGGGTACACAAGTATAATGGCTATGATCATGGATGAGGAAGCAGCTGAAAAACAGAGAAAGAAAGCAGCTGCTGCATTACAAGCCGCACAAGCAGCTGAGTGCAGAGGAGAGTCTAATTTGAATGTCTCAGAGAAATTGTGCGGCAACAGGAATAATTGTTCAGTGGAAAATAAACCCGCATCAGTATCTTCTTCGATTGCGAATTCGTCGGTTTTCCAAGGTGTATTTTGCCGTGATCTTGCTGCTGTTGGGAATTTGCTTTCGCAGGCTGGATTTAACAATCCAATTCCGGTGAAGTACGAGGCACTGAGCTGCTGATGAATTAAATCCTTGTAGAAAGAAAATTGAGTGCCCTATAGGATTGTCGCCGGCAGAGGGATTCTCTGGTTCATTTGCTCGACTGTACAAAATGGAAACTTTTTTATTGCCGGAAAATTTTGTCACCCGTTTTTTAAACGTTTTCTTCTTTCTTTATTAGTTGTCTTTTATCTATGTCAGGTGTACAGGATATCAGTACTTAAAATCTCTACTTCGGCCCTAAACTTGATCGAAACTTCTGTTCAGTTCGATGAATCCCATTTAAATTTGGCCTTAAGGTAGCCATATTATTAATAAACTTACAATGGACTAAGAGTAAATAATGAGTTTGCAATTGTGGATGGAACTTGATCCATTTGTTTCTGATGCAGGAGAAATTAGGTTTTGAAACGGGTAAATGGAAATAATGTCTTTATTGTTGCTGTAGCAACAGGAGCCATTAATAGAGTCATTGAAAGCGAGAGCAATCAGCGGAGACTGCAGCTGCTAGCCTGGGCCTTTTTCCCCCTTGTCCTATCCGATTCGCATTTAATTTTTCTCTGATTAGTTTATCCAAGAAGCTGACGTCTCTGACATTCCATTAGATTTTACTTTCCTTATATTTTGCATCCACCAAAAAATTTGCAGCATTCTAATATATACAGACGAACTCTTTTCCCCCACCAAGGTGCTATTTCTGTTCAACCTTTACGCTTGGATTGACGAAGTGGACGCTTGTGATGCGTGGAACGGAGTGCATGAGGTTTTTTGAACGTACGGGGTCATCATACGGAGATGCAAATGGTGGAAGGGCGTTTTGTTTTGTGTGTGTGTGTGTGTTTTTTTTTTTAAAAAAAAGGCTGTCAGTTCTTTTCATGAGGCCTAAGTCTAAATCTACACTCAATACAATAAAACCAAGAGTTGGAAAGGAAATGTCAAATCAACTTTCTCTTTGTCATCATGAGTGGTGCCACTTCCCCGCTAAACCTTCTTTCGCCACTAGTGTTTCTGAAGCCGCCATTTTTTTGATAAAATACCAAATAATAAGTGGGAGTTAGAGCTGGTTATCACCAAATGAGGTACACATTAATACACATGAAGTTAAATTGTTGGCAATTAAGATAACAGCTAAATTAAGCAATCCAAGGTTGCATCTGAAAAGTGGGAAACCTGTGGCTTTACGGGTGAAGATTTTAAAGAAGGTTGTTGGGGATGAAGCCTCCGGAGCCTGATGATGGTAATTGTGGTTCTGAGGCGTGGCTTCTGATACAAGGAAAAGCCTGTCTATTTCTTCTCCCATGCAAAAGTAATAGTATTATTGTGTTCCCAGAGTGATTCCTGCTGTCACTCTGCATTCTGCGACAAGTATACAACTGTTACCAGAATTTAAAAATTATTTTATTTTTAAAAATAAAAAGATTTTAAAACTCATTTAAATGAATGTTTTAAATTTAATTATTTTTAAAACTATTTTTTTATTTTTAAAAAATAGAAAAAAGTATCAAGTTATTTTTATTTTTATTTTCTTAATTTCAAAATATAGATTGTTGTAAATTATAATTATCTTGACTAATTACTATTGTTAACTGTTTATAATAATCAATATTAGTTTATTTTTAAATTCTAAGACTCTTTCTAAATTAATATAACTAAACATATTTTTGTTTTGTTTCACTTTCAAAGGTAAATTTAAAAATTACTCAATTCATTTTTATTTGTAAGAAAAAATCACTTTTTATTTATTTTTTTATATAAGCAAAATCACCTATTTCAATAAGTATTTATTACATATTTTTTAAATTATCCCTCAATTTACATTAATAAAAAATAATTAATGTATAATTATATTGATTAATATGGCACATTTCAGTCCAATTATTTTATTTTTAAATAAAGTTATGATAGCTAACTAATTTTTTTAAATTGTGTGATAAAATTTTTTTCCTTTTTTATATAAAAACGGGAGGAGTATATTACAAAATAATTTTTAATAACAAAAAATGGAAAAAAAAAATCAAACAAGTTTTATGTTATTCTCTCCATATTTATATGTAAGAGATTTTTTTAAAATTTTTTATCCTTAAAAATAAGTGACTGTTATCATATTTTTTAATAAATGAACTATTATATTTTTGTTAAAAAAATTGAAAAGAGAAAAAAATAAATATTTTTATTAATTTATTTTAAAAAATGAGATTAATTTTTTTATAATAATTAAGGACGAAATAATTAATTTTTATTAATTTGTGCGATTTAATTAAAATTATTTTATATACATTGGTCGAGGGAGTAGTTCAGTAAGTGCTGAACCCTTGGGATTGAGATTGGGGGACGCTCTTTTACTTCTAGAGAGCTGTAACATGAAAGAAAGCCTCGGCGTCAAACTAATAATAATGAATGGCAATGGAAAGCCTTCTGTAAATGGAAAAGTACAGCAAACTCAATGGGCTGCGAACTTCCTCAATTCTGACAAATAGTCAACCAACAACCACAATGCTTACTATTGCTCACACTGTTTGAGTTGGCCACATTAATGTCTCCTTGCATGGATAGAGTACCTTTCCCGATGCGTTTTAAGCACTCCTATCACTTTATAGTGTTTTGACTCCATTGGATCACGCACGCGTTCCCTTTCTACTTCCATCTTCTCGACGAGAATAGTTCTCCATTTCAAATTTCATGATCTTAACCCAAAAGACATAAATTCCTTCTTTCTCTTTGAAACCTTGTTTTATTTGTTTCTCGATAAGATCTTTAAAAAATTAAAGGGAAGAGCTAACTACTGCGATTTTCATTGAGGAGCATGAAAAGACCGCCATAGATTTAACCTGTCACGCTCGTGCTTTGATTGCGTACGTTGCACATTTTTTATCCTGAACTTTAGAAAATGTTACTCCTCCCATCCAATATATGAATAACTTTTTAAAAATATAATCTAATTTATTTTATAAGTTATTTATTGATAAAATTATTTTATTTTAAATTAAAATTTTTAAATTATTCTTAAAAAGTAAGAGAAAGAAAAATAAAAAATAATATTATATGATTGACTTATTTTTTACTTAAAAATTATATTTAAAATTATATTTATTTTTATTTTTTATATTTTTATTATATTGATATTAATAAAATTGATAAAAATAATTTGTAAACAAAATCGGAGGGATGAGGGGTTTCCCTAAATATTGGGTTTTTGGATCATCGTATGTTATTTAAATATTTGTCAAGCGTTCCTCGGATTCCCATGGGACGTGACTTGGTCTGAACGTATCAGAAACGATCAGCAGACAGAAATTAAGTCCCCCGGCACCAGCTTTAATGGCGAACTTCAAAATGAATCCGAATTTTATAATGACATCAGCCCACTCTCCTCTTGATCGCTGGATACAAAATAAATTTGTCATAATCCTGGGCGTTGGTTGAATTTGTTTTGCATGCTGGTATATAGCTGGATTTATTGTCTTATTGCATTTAGTCATTGCACAGCTAAGAGATTATGTCGATAATAATATATTTTTTTATCAAAAGGATTAGTGAAACGTGGGATTGTTTATTGATGTAGATTTAGAACGGCGAATGCCATTGGTGGAAACGAGGAAAACATGCCTCCCACATACATCCTCGTCGTTCATGTTATGCGACAGACACTACAAAACTCTGCAACAGCTTGGATTGCATACCAATTAACGAACTGTTTTTTAATTGTTCCTCTGACGCCAGAATATTAATATATCTTATTAAAAGTAGTATTATATTCAACAAAAATGATAGAGAGGTCTAAAAAAATTAATTAATTTAAATTATATTTTAAATATTAATTTTAAAAATTTATAATTCAATTTTTTAATTTTAAAATTGCGTTATAATAAATTTATAATTTATTTTTAAAATTTTAACTTGATTAAAAAATAAAAAATATTTTTTCTGTTAAAATTTAAAATATTAATTATAAATTTATTTCAATAAAATTATAAAGTTATAAATTAAAATATAAATTTTTAAAATTTAATATTTAAAATTTACCTTAAATTAATTAATTCGTTTAAGATTTCTCGATTTTTGGCCCTTCCATTTATAAATGACTTGCGGCAAAAGAAAAGGCACACCTCGCGAGGGCGCTTTATTCAGGTTCGCACTTTGAAAATTAGCACCATTTCTTTAGCACAGGCTCGGTGCTATTTTAAGTTTTTGATTAATTTACAATCCCTCCTGGCTTATTTACAAAACAGAAAAAACATGGGCTTGACAACTTATTTTAAAAATAATTTTATATTATTTAACATAAAAAAATATTTAGTAACTTATTTTTAAAAAGTATTATAAAAAATAAAAATAAAATATTATTTTAGAGAACAAAAAAATAAAATATATTTTAGATATTTTAAGATTACTATTTTAAAGAATAAAAGAGAATGAAAAAACACAGATTTTTATTAGTTTTTTATTCTCAAAATATGTTATATAAAATATCAATTTTTAAAATAATAAAATAAAAAAATTATTTCAAACAGGCCTATATTTTTTTATTCTTATATAGAGTATGCTGTTGACTTCATCGTTATTATTTTTTGGCATAAAGGCAATTATATTAACAAATAAAAATAAAAAATAGCAATAACGTTAATGTTAAAACAAAATTAACAAAACTACTATGAAAAGTAAAGGTGAGGAAAACAAAATTATCAGAACTATCCTTTTAAATTCTACAACCATTAAAGTCTTTTAAAAGCCTAAAGATGTGATCAAAAAGGCAACTTCATGCTGAGCAGGAGCAAATTCACCTGCTGTGCCAAAACATGCAAAGCTCCCATATTCGACCGATGATGAGAAAGACTTCGAGCAAAATTCTAAATCCCAAACAGAGGAGCCCGATGGCAAAGACTTCGACTGATCATGATTTTTTTCTTTTACTTTCATTAAGTATTGGTGAGATAAAGTATGACATTAAAACATGCATATTTAGTAGAAGTAAAATGAAAATTGCGTTAAATTGTTAGATAAAGTTGATGAATTCTAATTTTTTATATACAATAAAAACAGATGAAAAGTGGTTTATCAATAAAATAAAAATTACATTTTAAACAACTGCTTCTGAAGTTTTAACGCAAAAGGCCAGATAATGAAATAATTCCATCACCATTGAAATGAAAATCACCCAAGCACCAAAACATTGTGCTAATCGATTATTCAAACAAGCTGTGGGTAACAACTTAGGAATTCAATTATATCATTAGAATATTAATTATTTATCAAAGTCTTTCACCTGTTAGATTTTGATTTTATACTTCATGAAAGAAAAGATCAAATAAAGCACGAGAAATATCATTACATTGATGAAAACTTGTCCTTACCATCATTAATAACATTTTTATTAGATATGACTCATATTTGTGATATCATTAGAAATCAACTTGTATATTATCATCTTCATTAATCACTGTAAAATTAATGTGTGATATTTAAGAATTAAAATTTTCTCTCTTATTAAATTTATTTGAACTAAAATATATTGAGTTATTTCTTTACATGGATTAAAATGTTAGTATTAATATAATTTAAATTTTTATAAATAATTAGAGATATAATTTAAATATTTTATTTTAATTATTAAATAAAATTTTAAAAAATTAATAATATTAGATATAAATTTGTCAATAATTTAATTTTAAAAAATAATATTTTTATGGTAACTTACACATTTAAAATTAATTTGATAAAATTATTCAAATATTTTTAATTCTATTAAAATCAATCTAAAAAAAATATTCAAACAAAGTATGTTATGAAATAATCAATTATAATAAAAATTAATTATATTAATAAAATATTTTTATAATTAATTACATTTAACTAAAATTCAAACGGTTCATAATTGATGGAGAGTGGTTAGTACGCATAAACACATGACGTGGGGGCCAGGATGGTGAGGGACTGGGATTAGATTGAAACAGAGGCTGGAGAGTACAGAGGGGAATCAATTGAGAGGAGGTGGAAAAAAGAGCACGTGGTGTTCGAATGTCCGGAACATACAAAAGTGGTGGCCACATCTGACGGGGCCAGCTGTACCGCGTTATCCTATCATTTCTCTCTGCCCTCAGCTTTCATTTCTTCGCTGCCACGTGCCACCACGTCATTGAACAATTTCCTAGAGTATGAAATTGACGGAACCGGATTTCCTAAGCGGCCAAGCGCTCAGCATCCAAATTTATTCCATTCATATGGTGAAAATCTGATTACATCACATGATTATTAAAAATACATATAAATAATTTATTTTTAAATAGTAAAAAAATATACTTTAAAATATTATGTCTGGATAAAAATAAGTAAGGCCTAAACCAGATTTGCATAGGCAGGCTGTTTACATAATCAAGCCTAATTATAAATTTAAGTATAGTCTTTTTGTTAAATTAACTAGACCAAAATTTAAACTGGACAGCTTGTATGGTTCTGCAAGCAAGGTCAACCCTATTTAACAAAAAAATTGATTATATTAAAACAAACAAACAAGTCTGTAGAGACATATAATCTGTCCTGTTTAAATTTTGATCTAATCTGTTTAACAAACAAATCATGTTTAAATTTATAACTAGGTTATTTTCATAAATAGGTTAAGCTTGTTTACTCAAAATTTAACTCAAGCCTGATTTATTTTTATCCAAACATGATATTTCAAAATAAATTTTTTACTATTTAAAAAATAAATTATTCATATATACTTTTAATAGTCATGTATTGATCAAATTTTAACCATTTGAATGGACCAAATTTGGATACTTAGAGTTTGGCTGTTGAGAGGATTCGGTTTCGAGTTTGACCGGAGTGTTTGGGGAGAATGACAATAATAGACGTGGAAAGAAAATTAATACAAAAGAAAGACCATTGATTGTAAATCCTGATATTTTAATAGTAAATTTTTAATATTTCAGCTATAAAACATCCTTGATATTTTTTTAAGGTTCCTATTTGTCATTTTCCTGAGTATTTATTTTAGTTTCATGGCCTTCTATTTGGTCAAACGTGTGAAAAAAATGTCACTTTTCACATCCTTCTCCCTTTTTTCCGCTCGCACATACACAGATGTGTACATGGCACTGCTTCCATATCAAATTATAATATGATATCAAAGGTATTTTATTATTTAAAATTATAAGATATTTTAATAAAAAAAAATTTATTAATAATTTTTTTAATATTATCCTTCAGATGGAGAGAGATTTATAATTATTTTAGATTTGAAGTTATATTGAATAAAAAATATCTTTAAAAGTTTATATTTTTTATAAAATAAATTTATAAAGTGTTATTATTAAATTATTTTATAATTTGAAAAAGGAGAGTGATGGTAGAAAAGTATATTTATGAAGATTGAGAGTCTAAAATGACGAAAGGCGCTTTCCAACTCAAACGAAAGGCATCTTTATGTCTACTTAGCCTATCCATCAGTGAATTCTCAGTTCATAGTCAACAAATACCAATTTACATATTTTTGCCGATATTTTAGGGTCTTTGCCAGGGAGGCTAGCTAATTTTACGACCAACTAGATTATGAAACAACTTTTTTTTTTTTAAATCATATTATGAACTTATTATGGCCGGCCCCGTGAGTAGTCTTCTTTGGTCTACTAACCCAGTGACATCGCATGTGAGAATAAATAAAAGTGCAAAGTTTGTTTGAAGTTTTTATATAGGAATCTGCCAAGGAATCAGTTTGGTGACCTGCAAAGGCAAGATGTTTCCTGCATATTTTTCTTTAGTTGGTATCTATTGCGCCATATCTGTTGCTTCCTTCGGGCATCAACATCCCTGTAAACCTTCATCCTCTGCCGAAAGATACCAACTTGAATCAGGCCGTGTGAAGATATTCAAGGCCTGAGACAAAATTATAAATAAAACTTAGCATGTGTAATTGTCTCTTAAAAAAAAACGCACTCATCATTTTTTACAAAATTATATAGTAAAATTTCATAATATAGTAATTCTAATAAAATACTAAATTAATTCAATAGTAAAAATTAGTGTTAACAAAGTGCTCTTACCCTATCTTATATATTAGGATAGAATATCAACAAGGACATGAAATGACAATATATTTTTAACAGAAAAGATGTAATTAAGACTAATAGCATTAATGATTAATGTGAAAAATAAATAATAATTATACAAATTATAAAAAATATCTTTAATAAAGCTTAAAGGTATCATATTGATGGTTTAAGACTACACAAGGTTTTGATGCTAATATTTTTCAAAGTTTTAGGCTTTAGAATAAAAAAAGAAGAAAATAAAAAGTAAGACCATGGAAAGAATTTAACACAAGCTAATGTAATGTGAATTATTATCTTATAAATTTCACTATTTTTTTTAATGTAAACAAAGAACTTTGCTTAATAATTAATGTTATAATGAAAGTAATTAAAACTTTTCAATAAAAAAAAAGAACAGTCAACGGCTTTCTTTCCCTCCGATCGCTGTCCTCGTCAATGGCTTTCTTTTCCATGTCGTCCGCTGAAACAGCCTTGTCGAAGGCCAGCCTACTGCCCCTGCAATTCCCATTTCCCCCTGGCCAGAGAGATTTCAGAGGGTATTTAAACGAGAATATGGGCAACACAGACGCGTGGGGTGATTTTTCTTTGGTAGACCGGCCAATCGCGCTTAATTGAGATGGATTCGAATTTGCATTCAATGAACCACCTATTGACATGGACGGAACTATCCTAGATATTCCACTTTTCAAACACACAGTATCCATTCTTGAAGTCTCGCTGTAATAACGAGTGACTTGTTTGTGCTCTTTATATAATGCAGGAGAGCAATCGCTGTGAATAATGCTGTAGCCAGAGTTCTAATGGCGTCCAGGTTCCGAAAAAATTAACCAGGTTCTGGTATTCTGCTTATTTTGTATAAACGAGAGAGAGAGAGAGAGAGAGAGAGATGAAATGAAATGGAGGGAGCCTTTAAAAGAGAGGTCGAGCAACAAATAAGCTTAGAATTTGTTTGAAATCCAAGGAGTCATACTTTTCTCAACGAATACTTTTTTGGTCTTCAGTGACGGTGAGCTTTGCCTCCTGGATATTTTTAGCCCCGGTGAACTCAACTAATTAGCACTACCTCTAGTATCCAAATTTTTAGATTTAGTGACTGATGGCATTTCCAAGTGGTCAAAAATGTTCGCAGCGTTTTTTGGTCCAGAAAACCTATATTTGCAATGTTGTACAAACCTCAGGCATGCTTGGGCTTTGGGTTCTTTTGGAGCCCCCCCCCCCCCCAAAAAAAGGAAGCAATTTGGCAATTTTTTAAATATAAAACATTGCTCGTGTTTTTTAGACAAAAATTTTCTTTGACCTGTAAAGATAAAAGTCAATTAATAATAAAAATAATTATGATTTTTTGGCTTATAAAATTATTAGTATCAAGGAATAATCAAACGAGCATATAATAGATATTATGTTTTCTTATAACAAATTGGATTCTGTTAGCATTCCAAACCAAACCTTAGATAATATTCCCCAGCAAGAGCCACGCTAAAAATTATAGATCTCAGGGTTTCAAGGCCTCCTCCGAATTCAAATGGATGAACTTTAATATATTATTATAGTTTTCAAATCAAGAATAAAAACAGAGTGAAAATCTATCAAGCAGTCTCTGTTTTAACATATTTAATAATAAATAAATCACGCTTAAGAATTTTTGAAGACCTACTTACTTAAAAACATTAAATAGATAAGACTTATATTATATCATTGTTATGTTTATATATTATTTATACAGATACATTATTATAATTATAAAATTACTTTTATCATTCAGGCCGAACGGAACAACCGGAATTGCCTGACATTTGATCGGGTGGGCAATACCCGATCAAATAGGCCGAGGAGAAGCGAACCTTACATCCCGTCATTCCTTTAGCAATAGCGGTAGACATAGCGCACGGCAAGATGTCACTCTGATTTTTGATTACATATACATATATTTAATTTTTTCAAGGGTATGAAGTAACAAGCAAGGACCAAGAGGGAGATTTTAGTCATTTTATCTGTGTTTACTGTTTACACCCTTATAAGTCATAGCCCAATCGGTTCTCTCCCACTTTTGTCGATCACTCGGCCAGTCCTGTCTCCAGACTCCTCCACTCTCCCTTCTTCACTTCTTGCTCTCGGCTGTGTTGCTCGTCTATAGCTCGTCTCCAGATTTTAGTCAGCGTGTTGTGCTCTTACTTGGCCGTGTTCGATTGGTCGCTTGTCTCTGTCTCGGTCGTTTGTTCTCCGTTCGCGTGTGCGTGTATGCTTGGTTTCGTCTGTGTCTCAGTCACCTGTGTGCTTTCTGAGTTTGTTCTTCAGTTTTTTTTTTTAATTTATCAGTTCGTGTTTGCCTCTGCACGTTGTTGCAATGTTGCTGGAGCTAGAGAGGCATTACTTTGTTCTTCTTCATTCTCTATTTTTGTTGCAATGTTGCGATCTGAATGAGTTATTTGTTGTGTATGCTTTTCCATTTTCCTTAGTTGTGTGTCCAGATGTGATATTTGCAGATTATAACGTTTGATCCTGTGTTAATGTGGACAAAATTCTGTGCGATAACCTATTTGTTTAATTGGGTCCAGTAATAATAAGGCCATAATGGAATTTCTTCGATGTTGCGATCTGTTAGTAACTGCTGGTGCTGATTGAAGGGTTTTGTACTTTTCTTTACAAGTAGATTTCTTGCGCATTTATTTCTTGTTTTTTTTTTACTGTGTTTTTGATATGTTAATTCTTTTTTTTTTTTGTGTATTTCTTTTTCCCAGATGCTTCAACCTTTTGTGAACTTCAAGGAGATTCATCACAGGCCATTTGGACTTGGAGGATTTAATTACAGTATGTTGCCTTGTTGGAGCTAGAATTTTTGAAATATGTTGTTTTAATGTTTTTTAGGAATTCTGGATGTTGAATGTTGTTTTGGGTTGAGTTATGGATTCTGGATATTGTGCTGTCCTAAGAATTATGTGAATTTATTGAGCATGGGTGTTAATCGTGTTATATTTTGGATTTATGGATTCTGGATATTAATGGATATTTCTAGATATTGTGGTGTTTGTCCTAGTACTTGTGTCAGTGTGTGGCAGATTATGTCTGATGATTTTCTGGATATCTTGCTAGGTTTTTATCATGTGAATTCATTTGGGGTCTTTTATGGGCAGGGTGAAATTATAGGGCTGGGCAGCCTGAAGGTGCCCAGCCCGTTCTGCCCAACCCAAAACTTTAGGGCTTTTTGCAGGCAGGGTTGGGCAGCGGGTTGCTTTTTACAGCCTGTTGATCCTTTGGGTTGGGCATTGGGCAAGGGCCCTGTCTTGCTCAACCTTGTCCATGTCCACCCCTTCACCTATTGCTGCTTGGAGAAATAACCCTCTCTCTCTCTTTGTTACTGTTTTTGTTGCAATACAAGTTCATTTTCTTTTGCCCTACTGCCTCAAGGTCGTATTTCACTTCCGCAACTTTATCTCAGAGCCATCTCGTCCATAAACTTAAGTATTTCCATGCTCTCTCTTTGCCTATATAGCACCCAATCTCATGGTCTGTTTTGGAGTTCTACTATTCCCCCTACTCTGGACTCGAGTCCCCACTCCCCGTCTTTTTATTCGTTTTTCCTTCTCCCTGACTGAACTATTTTTTGATCTGCCGTTTAATGAAATTCATCCTCTCACGAATTAAACTTATTGAAATGCATGTTTTTGGTTTTAGATTCTTACGTGGCAGAACTTGGGCAAAAATGAGTAGTTCTGCCGGACCCTCATCAAAACCAAGAGCTGGATCCTCACAACCCTCAGAAACTTCGTCTAAACGCAAAAGAGGAGTTTTCCAAAAGGAATGTAAGAATCATTTTGTAAGTTCTTGAAACATTTTAACTTATCTGTACTTTATTTTAACCTTTTATTGGTTGCTACAGTGCAGCACATGATGTATGGTTTTGGAGATGATCCGAATGTAAGTGTTAATATTGATAATTTTGAGTGCATATTTATGTTAAATTGAAAATGTAAGAATTAAGCCATCTGAGAGGATAAGGCTGTGTGGGAGAGTAGATTGAGTTCTGAACCTTTGTGTTGTAGCAAAAAGAATATGCCAGAACTACTATATATTATTTATTTGTTTTTGTCCATTGCACAACTAGCCACTGCCTGAAAGTGTAGCACTTATGGAGGATATCGTTGTGGAATATGTTACAGAACTGGTAAGCATTGGCTCAGGCTTTGTGTATTTTTCTTTGATTGCTCAATGAATGCCACAGATAAGTTGGCTTGTTTCCTTATTCCTCTTCTTCCCCTTTTCCATTTCTTGAGGTACACAAAGCCCAGGATATTGGATCGCAGAGAGGAAAGTTGTCAGTTGAGGATTTCCTGTATTTGATTCGCAAGGTATCGTTTTTTATTGCTTCAAGTTTAACATAGGAAACTTTTACTTGGAGCATAAAATTCTTGAGCAATATTTTATAACATATCTTATCCATGACAGAGTCATTTGTAGAAGCACCAGCTAACAAACAGAATCCTTCACCTAGATGTACCATGTAGGGAGTTAAAAGGAAGAATTTAACACAAATGAGAAATCTTCCATAATCCCTTATGCACCGAGATTACTGCTGAGTTATAATATTTTGCCTAAGTTCATGTTAACTGAAACTTCTTGTTAGGCAAAAAACAAGTTTAAATTTAAATCTGACTCTTTCAAAGTACTGCCGGGAATCTGCTATTCTGATATTTTTTCATCAGCAGAAATCTATGGCTTCTTTGCTACATCTTGCAAAGGCCTGCTGTCAATAATTGAGGCTAATAAAGTCGTTAGAACTTAGAAGCATCAATAAATATGTATCAAACTAGATTAATCCTTTGCAGAAGTTACAGGGGATACATAAAATGGTTAGGAACATTTATTTGCACATGGTTTGGGAATAATAAAGTAACAGTAACTTTTGACCTAGTATTCATATATAGGTATTTTTTTTTTTTGGGTCTGCATATATAGTTAAACTCTAGCATATCTTGACAAAACGATGCCTTCTGTATAACCAAATTTGATATAAATTGTACTTATCTTAAAACAGTAATAAAGTGTCATCCTAAGTGGCTTGTCTTGTTTAAGTTTGCTGATTGCCTCAGATAGCAATCAAACTTGAGCTTGGGAATTGTGAATTCTCCTTGTATTAATTAATTTCTTCTCTGTTACAAAGAAGCTGATCATCGTTGATCAATGGACTAGAAGCTGACCCAGATCTTCCTAGAAATTGATCAGTGGATTCGAAAGATCAGATAAAAACTGAGATTTTGCTTGTAATGAAGAAGTAACTGATATAGATACGCTGATATGCAAGTAACATAATAAGCCTAATATCATGTAAAAATAAATCCTATCAGGTTCAGACAATTCATTGAAGGTATCTAAAACCCAGGGCATGATAGCGTCATATTAAAATCTCATGCAGTTAGCACGAGGTACAACTATTCGAGTATTAACTTGACACCAAGTCACTACAAAATGAAACTTCTAGAGTCTTAGACCGACCCACTGAAGGTTATTATCATTGTTGGTGTGAACTTCCATGAACTGATTGACTTCACCTAAACAATGCACCAAGCTCCTTCTCAGCACAACGAAGCCCCAGCCATCTCAAGTTCAACTTCTTTTGATTCATTTTCTCCCCTATCATGTGAAGATGTATGGTGCTCTCTGCCAGTTCATGGTATTTTTGTTGTCCTGAGGTATCAAATTCTTTTCCGCCGCAGGACTTGCCAAAACTTAACCGCTGTACGGAACTGCTGTCTATGAATGAAGAACTGAAACAAGCGAGAAAGGTTTTTGAATCAGATGAAGAGAAGCTGAGGAAGGTTTTCGAGGCAGACGAACCTGAATGATAAGATTTGTTTAAAGCATGCCGCATGCTCCCTTCAATCTTTTATACAAGTCACTTTTAATTTCCTCATCGAACCAACGAGGTAATTAAATTGTTGATGTTATATGAAAAGAAATTTTTATTTTCAATTTGTCCTTATTAAATGTATTATCTTCATAAACAATTATCTCATTTGTAATCTTTTATTCTATTTGTAGAAAATTGTGAAAGGATAAAATTAGAAGAAAGTAATTGATTATCTAGTTTATTCAAAATTACTTATAGAAAAGACTATTAATTCTTTCTGGAAGGGGGTTTATATGTTTGGACCAAAGCGATTACTTTCCTTTTCTTGGCTAGGCCAGAACTTTTGAAATGCATCACGAGAAGTCATTTTATGTGGAGTGAAAATGGGGAGTTGAAATTCTGTATTTTGTAAATCTAGAATTGTCACATTGCCCTTGTGTAATTTAAATATTTCCCCCCTTTATAATGTTAAATGCATCATGCTTGGGAAAATTATAGAGAAATTTTAGTGAAGGAAATTAAGGGCGTGTTCGGATTAAAAAGGAGTAAAAATTTATTGAAACTTTTCTTTCAGGGTTTGATGTTTTAATTTTTTTTTTAAATAATATTGTTCCGAAACTTAAAAGAATGGAGAAATTTCTCCCCATAGTTAAATGTTAGGTTAATTGACCATTAAATTAAATGAGATTTTGAGGAGAGGAAAAAAAGACATGGCATGCTAACTAGATTTCCTTTCTCACCCTCCCCCCCTCCCCTTTTGTTTCTTACTCGCATATCAACACTAGCCTTGGCCACGGAACACTTTTCACACTGTAGAGGTCTCTGGCGGTATTATTTACTTCCAAATGCCAATCATAGCGGCAATGATGCTCACTCATCAGTAATTCTTTTTTACTAAATTCATAAACATGAATGAGATTTGGATTGAACAAAAACGTAAAAGCTAAAAAGCAAACATTATGCTCAGAGTTACACATATTACTGGCATTCCCTTCCTAAATGAAGAATATTAAATTCAACAAGAACTCAAATTTCAATCCATACACATGTTTAGTACCCACATTTCCATTCTTGTGAAGACTCGTGACCTTAATGGCTTGAGAGTCAACTTAGGTCTGGTGGGACCACCTTGTCTGAACAACTCATTCGGTAGCATTGAAAATTTGGAACCCACTTAGATTCTCCAGCCACACCTCCGCCTGAAGAGTGACCCACAAATAGCCACATAAACTAAAACAAAGGCATAGACAACACAACCTACCAAGATTGAATAGAGCAAGCAATTTAGCAACTTCGTAGCCAAAGTAAACGTAGACAAGCATAAGTGAAACACCATAGCTCTTGGCAGAAAACAAAAAACAAAAACCAAAAAGAAGAAATACCATAGCTCGATGATATTGGATTTTCACCTAGGGAAACCAACATTTGATCACAAAATCCCACTCGGAAAACCGCGATCTTGAAACCTGTATGGAACGACATTGTATCCCTCCTCCACTTGTTGTGGTGTGCTTAATTTGAACAAATCGGAGCATCCTTCTAGGTACTGGTTAGCTTGATCTTGTAATTGCAAACGATAGAAGGAAGAGATCACTAATTGAACCCCCCAATGGCAACGAATCAACAATCATCGTAGCGTTGACGTATGGAAAGAATGGAGAAGGAAGAAGAGGATTCCGGCATATTGAATGGAGATTGTGGGCGGCGCTACGATGAGCATTCCGCACATACTCACTGATGAAAGCAAAGGAAGAACAGTGGGGAAGGTGGATTAAAGAAGGAGAGAGTAAAGGGAAGGAGAAGACAGCACGTGGACCGTGAGTTAGAGAGAGTAGAGTGCCACGTGGCCAATAAAGTCAAAAATAATGGTCAACAAATGATGTCATTGATGGTAGGGGGCAATTGTTTTAAATAAAAGTTTAAGATTTCATTAGAAAAAATTTTAAGGTAATTTTGTCTATTTTGTCCTAAAAAAAATCTTGTGATAATTTTTTTTGCCAATTTAGACGTAATTTTTTTTTTTGCCAATGTAAAACTTAATTACAGGAATATATTAGTAATTCATTTTTTGTCGATTAGTTCTTTGTAATTTTCTTTTATATATTTATAATTGTTATTTAATAATTTATATTATTTTTCAAATAGAAGCAACAGGATCATTTACTATCTATCCTCCTGTAACCGCTTTCTCTTATGTAGATGCAGACAGAGTTTTTTTGAACGAGGCAATTCTACACAATGCTAAGACTAATTAGTGTGTATTGAATACCTCTATTATTTTATGACAAACCTCTAGGCAATGGTACAGGCTAAAGGGAAATGATCCACATCCTGACATTAATATATCCTATAAGGATGACATTTCCAAATATGGAGGTGTGATTTGAAACAGTCATGTTGAATGAATGGCTAGATTTCAATCTAATGTTGGTCAATTTTCTCCTGTAATTATTGAGATTATTGGAACTATTCAAGGCCACAACATGTGCTACCATTTGAATTTATGAGTTCAAGTTTTAATTGACTATATATATGCGGAGACGATTAATCCACTTACAAGAAACAATGCGAGCCGACACCAATCTAGAGACACCATGGAATATGCGAGGGAGTACTTGTTTAATCGTTGACTTGCGTCTTTGAATTTGATCAACCACAACCATTTTGTCAGGAGGTGGTGGATGATAGAAAGAATAAATCTTAATCTGTAAACTGATTTATCTTGCATCCTTTGTCTTGATTAATGACACCTCTTCATGTTTAAAAAAAAAAAGAAAAAGAAAAATCCCGTGGCTTTTTACTAACTTACCACTATTCCATCGTCATCTTGCTACGACGCGAGCTCTGGCCAGTGGCCATACATTAGGGGGGAAATTGAAATATGTGAGGTGCCCCTCAAAATAAAAATTAAAGAGTCTGACAAGAACGTGTAATTCACTGGGAAACGATTTCAGACTTCAGGGACGACAATCAAGGATGAGATATTTTACTGTGTCACATTTTCCTTGCCCACTGGTAAAGAGAAGATGACAAAAAATACACCATAACTCAGGAAGGCAGGTTACAACATGCGCAATGATTAGAATGGTAAGTATACACCTATTTTTCAACTAACAAAAAAGGGGAACCCCCGTGGCTTTCCTTCTCAACGAGAACCTAATAATGTTAGGTTGAGGACATGTTGGACTAAGTAACTTGTGCTCTGGACCCTAACCAAGAACTGATTTTATCTGTGTTTTCTGCTCCTCCGTTAGAGTCCTGGGGAAAAGAACCTCAAAAGTTACGTACAGATCTCCTTTCTTAGTGCTCATATGCAACGGCATGCCCTCCCCTTTGAACTTCTTGACATCCTTTGGCTTCGTAATTCCCTGACGAGTCAAGAAATAGTCCGTCAGATGTGTGCTTGTTAATCCTTTTCAACACCAATGAAGATATGCAATGACGACATGCTCACCTTTGAACTGATGTCCACCAGATGTTCATCCAGGTGTTTAATGGTCTTCTCAAAACCAACTAGTGCTTGAACCTGAAGGAAATAAAGCATGGGTTTGGCCCCGAAAAAAAAAAAAACGAAAAGAAAGAACGAAGAGAAAAGAAAAGAAAGGTAATAAAGCCGAAGATTACTACTACCAAATACACGCCTCAGCTGTGGCCAGTACATTCAAGGTACATTAACTACACGTTCATAATTCGATACCCATATAAATGAATGCGTAATGTTTACCAGTGTTATAGTGACAGTGGTGTGCAAGTCATTGCCCTCCCTTCTGAAGAGGTCATGGGGTGCTGTCCGGATGCGAAACTGATCAGAATAAAGTACACATCATCAGCAAGCATAACATTGATATAACAATTGCCAAAATAAATACAAAATCACTCAGTCACTAACCCTTAAATCTCCAGCTTCACCATCCACTTTGGGCTCACCATCTTCATAAAACAGAACCTCCTGCGAAAAGTAAGGAATTTGTTACCATGCCTGACTAATAGTCAATGCAATCTAAAACCCGAAACATGTTATCATCAAATTCCCTTAACTTCTATATACATCAAATCAGAATTTTCTTTAAATTAATAGAAGCCCACAGGAGGAGGGAGAGAAATTCCATATTCCACAAGCCATGACATAGAATTGGATCATAGCTGTCATTGTATTCAGAGTTCAGATCCATTTTACGGACAATCTATTAGTTATTATGAGAGAATATATTAGTTACAAACAATCTACACTAACGCTCTACAAATCATAGCAATACAGACTTCACCAAAATCACAGGAACTGAAACTTCCCACACAGACACAATAACAAGGCGATGCACAAACAATGCCAACAGAGAGAGGTTCTCTCTACTCTAAACCAGATCCAAATTATTTTCTCAGCTTTTCTTTACACCCGTGACAACCAGTTATTAACTACTCCTTTTGACGTCATTATTTCTCCCACCTTTATAATTGCAGCCTTTCCAACTCTCTTTCACTCCCCTTAGTCTCCTACAATCTGTTTTGGCTGCATTTTTTGTGCGTTTTTTTTTCCATTTTTTTGGTGGGGGGGGGGGGTTGAGCCCCAACAGACAATGAGAAACATAATATTGTGAATGATTGATTAATTGAGCCCATATTTGGAAACAATGAACGCTTACCTGCCCATCCTGCATGCCTTTCTCAATATCAACAGTGATGAAATACCCCTCCCTTTCATATTTGACATTAGGACATTGCTCACAGACCTGGACAAGAAAAAACATAATATTGACTGAAAAACCTCCAGGTACATAAACAGCAGAAATCAGACAAACCTGCACGATACCTTACCCATTTCTGTGGTAATATTGCATAAAATATACATTCACAACCACAAGGATAAAATAACAAACACAAACTTGCATTCCTTCAACACTCTTAGCAATGATGACTACCTGCTCTGTCATCTGTTGAAACATCCCAGGACCAATTTGTCTGTGATAAACCTCGTTTCTGCAGTTACAGCGTCTCTTCCCAGGTGCCGGTTTTAAAACATTCTTCTCCCTCCAAACCTATCATTTAAAATGTGAATATCATACACAGAATAAAACCACTAAATGCCTAGTCAATTCTTTGGCAAACACGATACCAATATACCTTAGAGCTTGATAATTACTGCAGTGTAATAACTGCAATATTTCCTAACCATGCCCGGTTATTGCCAAAGCATTGATCAGTAACAGTATTTGGTTATATAATACAGTGTCTAAGATGGATAAGCATAGGGGCAAACGGCCGATGCAGAATATGCTCCAGGCAAATCAGATGTTTAGTCAGGTGTGAAACACATGTATCAAGATACCAGAACTAGCATGTACACGCACATAGATGCATATAATATATTAAAATTGAGAAGTTCCAAATTAGTTCTGTTAGTTCCTTTCATCTGATTCTGCCAGTGAATCTAGCCTTGCTGTTACCCTTTTGTCATATAAAAACCAATCAGATAATTCCAATTTTAAAATTTAATAGCACCCAAATCCCGGGCATAAAATGTTACAGAATTTAAATCAGGTATGACATGCTAAATAGTCTAATTCTGCCCAACGGATAAATAAAACTTCACAGTACATATATAGTTTTAGTCCATGTACGTAAAAGCAACAGATAGAAATAAACTTACTTTCAACGAGCCTCCCATGTACAAATCTTCAAGAGATGCATCCAATTCGATGATGACATCATCACCTTTAGGAATTTTCTCTTCCTCCTCCTCCGTTGAACCTCCACCAAAGAAACTGAAAGAAGCAGTCAGAGTTGCCCTAAGTGGCCATGGTTGCAAAATTTCAATAAATAGCAGTTTTACTTTGCAAACAAAAGATCGACAACTATATCTCATTGGATAAAGTTAAATATGCCAGGCCATCATAAAGACAACGAAGGCACTACAATAAGTAGGATACTCGTAATAGTATCCCTCTATGGACGATCTAGCGAGTTAGTCACTATAAAGTTCACGAATAAAACACATAATGACATTCCTGGCCATTAAAAAAATTGTCAAGGAAGAATTCGAGTACTACGTGATAAGAACTATTTTTAAAAACGCCCACCCCCAACCCCTGGGAAAAATGACTCTCCTTGTAGTCAAGGTAAATAAGAACTTGTCTTGGACTTACGAGCTAAATATGTCTTGAATGTTCATTCCCATTCCGCCTCCTCTGCCTCCACTAGCAGCATGCTGTTTCAGACCCTCTTCGCCATACCTGTCATAGATTTTTCGCTTCTCGCTATCCGACAATACTTCATAAGCTATCAACCATCAAGAACCATGCAACCCCAAACCGACAGCAAAATCCGTTAAAATCATGTTTACCAAAAGAGAAAAAAATAATAATAATCCGCTAAAACCAAAGAAGATAAATGTTCAACAAACCCATACAAATCAACTAAATAATCAGATATACCATTGTTGATCTCAGCAAATCTCTTATTAGCTTCTTCATTTCCCTGATTTTTATCGGGATGATACTTCAACGCCAGCTTCCTATACGCCCTCTTTATCTGCTCGTCCGACGCGCCCTTCGGCACTTGAAGTATATCGTAATAGGTCTTTCTGCAAAAGGTCGAAAAGTAAGATAGAAGCCCGATAGTTTGCATTATTAAAGATTGGAGCATTTTGGAGGAGAACAGGTGGATAAAAGAGTGATATACCCCGCAATGGCATTGAGGAAATAGCAGAAAGCGCATAAAAAGAACAACAGCTTGGCACTTCGATGCGCCATGAACGTTTAGGTAAGTAGAGAGATCAAAGAGAGTTTGGGTTAGGACTCTCGTATCAGATCGCGAAATTCAGGTTTTCCGATGAAAATTAAATGGCGAATATGTTTCCCTTGCGCCCCAAATTCTCTTCCTTTATCCCTGTCTGTGTCGTTGATTTTACTTTACAGTCTCCAAGTCCAGCTTCCACGAAGTCAGGATGGAAGTGATTCCACCAATGGAACGGAAACGATCCCCTCCGCCTTGCAAGAGCGTGACAACGTGTTCATTCCCAACCTGACCAATGACTGTGAGCGTTTCGCTGTTTGAACCAATCATATGACTCCGCGTGGCGTATTGCCGTTGTTTCCTTTTTGTGTTTTTTTAAAACATTGTTCCCTTTAATAGTTTGATGCGCCATAACAATCTTTTTTTTTTTATATATTTTATTGGGAAAAATAACAACTTGTGGGGTCCAACGACTTGACGCACAGGAGCGCGTTTTGGGGGGGCCCATATATTCGGATCATTGGGTGGTCAGAAAAACAAAAGCCATGAGACTTGGATCCTTGAAATCTGACCCGACTACTAATATAAATCGCTCTCTTCCTTTGGATGGGAATAAACGGGCTTTAACCAATCTCACGGCTAAGGCATTCGGCTAGTATTTTTAAGTTTACTTCCTTCCTAGTTCATGAGTCACACTCTATAAACATTATCATACTTTTACTTATGAGGCAATTTATTTATAAGCCGGGTAAATAGATGTTTACTTGAATTTGAATTTTTAAACAGGTCTGAAGGTACTTGATCCTTATATATACGCAATGCAAGGTTGTGACGTGATCTTTTTTCACATCCACTTTTTATTACCGCTCATGAATTAGAACCACAGCCCACTGTGATTAATTATTCTTTCTTTCTTGCCCAACCCCCTGTCTTCTTCCTCTACTTCTTCTTGAGCGCATTATGATATGATTCATATAATGTAGTAGAATTATGCCCCTAATCACACACCACATGCTCCGTAGTGTGGTATCTCTCATCTTGATTGTCATTAATTCATATAATGATACTTCCAAATTTAAACTCATGGAAAATCACATAATTAGATTCGTTGTCGTATGCTCATACATAGTGTCAAGAGGAAGACATCAGTACTTGCTTTGACCCGTCGTCTTCTGGCAAGCGTGTTACTGTGAGCGACATGGTGCCAGCCGCCAGGTGTTCGCAAGTGACACGTCGAACGTTGCCACCGGGCCAATCATTCGGTGCCACATCGACAGTAGCCGGTCACGGTTGCGAGTCTACTATCGGTAATCGTGAATCCAGAACTCGCATCTGAAGTCTCCAGACTGCTGAATGAATCAAATCCTGCCACTTCACCAAAACTCTAGGCCGAAACCGATACTCCGTTACACTACTGGATCGAGGGTTCCTCCCGCACGTGGACCTTGATATAAAACTGCAATTGCGAGAGTTAATTTCGGGATAGCAGCTCTGTTACACAAAAACCAGAGGTTGATGGACAAGTATCAGATCTGGCTAAGCCTCGGAGCCTTCGCTTTGCTGGTCCTAACTGCCTCAGCAGATGATGTCGTCGTACTAACCGAAGAAAACTTCGAGAAGGAAGTCGGGCAGGACAGAGGAGCTCTTGTTGAGTTCTACGCCCCCTGGTAACGCATTATTAATCCACTTTTCTTCGTTGATCAGAAATCATAACATGCAAGTGTTAGGGTTTGTATATTCGTTTCCATGTTGACGTTGCTTCGATCGCATCCCTTTCAACGACTCATTTACCTTTCCTATTTGATTTTGGGATTGTTCTTCTTTTTTTCATAGAAGACATCATAAGTTTAAGAGTTTGTCTAAATGTCACGGGTTTAAGGATTTGAACACAAAAGGGACAAAAAAAGCTTTCAAAGAAGTTGGGAGCGAAATAACAGTTTTACTGATGGGACCCTGAACTTTCGGGTATCTAAATGGCTAATATCCACCCTTGAAGTTCTCTTGGTTACCATGAAGCTATATAACCGATACAAGTCATATACTCTTAAGTATTTGAGGCGACGTATCTAGATAAATGAGAAGTTCCGTGACGTTGGACGCATTCTTATATGTTTCCCCCACTTTTGTCTTGATAGGTGTGGACATTGTAAAAAGCTTGCACCAGATTATGAAAAGCTGGGTACCAGCTTCAAGAAAGCCAAATCTGTTTTGATAGGAAAGGTCAGCACCCTGGTGTTTCTCCTTATTCATACCTTTTTATTGCTGGCACTTGCACGCTTTAGTTTATGGTTCGTTTGCCAACCATCTAAAATTATTGACTGTTTATGGTAATCCTCTTCTTATCTCGGAATTTCTTAGTGGTTGTATACCTTTCTAATCAAGTAGTCTAAGCTGCGACTTATTTAAAAAAAAAAAAAAAACTGATGTTGCGCATATGCGCCCCCTTTTTAATGTATCGTGCTTTCCAATAGTGACATCAGGATTCTTATGTCTTCAAAGTTCCCAACTTGATATTTCCTTTCCTTTTCCTGGTTTTCTTTTACAAATGTGATAGTTAAAGAGATCCGTTCATCTAAATTTGCATGAATATCTGGACAAGATATGGGATCCCCACCCCCCTCAAAATGAAGCAGCGGGCAATGGTTGCTGTCTGTACAAATTTTCTGTTTCTCTTTTTACATTTCAAATTGGAAATTCATTGACTTCACTTGACTAAACACAGGTTTTATTTTTGTAGGTGGATTGTGATGAGCAGAAAAGTTTGTGCAGCAAATATGGGGTTTCTGGATACCCAACTATTCAGTGGTTCCCAAAAGGATCTCTGGAACCCAAAAAGTAAGGAAAAGTTTGCTCATTGAAAACAAAAACACGATTAACTTTTATATCTTAATATGTTTTATCTGTTGCCTCATTTTCATCCCTCCTTTTGAATTAGAATTTAGTTTTGGTTTGTATATGCAGGTATGATGGGCCACGGACTGCAGAATCCCTTGCTGAGTTTGTTAATACTGAAGGAGGTTGTTTCTGTTGATTGTTGTGCTGAATACTTTTGTGAAGGCAAACACTAGACGATATTAATGTGTTTGAGTAACTTTTGAGGAAATCTAGTATTTTGACATTAGACATAATGTTGATCAGTCTTCTTACAACATTATTCTTTTAGATTTCTAGTATGGGAGGCTCTCCCAAGACATAAAAAGGTTTAGGTTTCATGTCATCATAATATTGCAGACTGCACATTATTTTTTGAGCTATTATCTTTTACAGCTGTTCAGATTATCTATTAGCACAAGTTAGGTTTGCTTTCACCATGTGCTTATTAGAAGTAGCAGAATTTCCTGATCAGGAAATTGATTTACAGGAACCAATGTGAAGATTGCCACGCCTCCATCCGACGTAGTTGTTCTGACACCTGACAATTTTGATGAGGTCGTCCTGGATGAAACCAAAGATGTCCTGGTTGAGTTTTATGCACCATGGTATTCTTGAGCAATTTTCTTGTCATTATTTTTTGCTTTATTTCCTATTTTTATTTCACAACTTTGGAATTGGGCTAAAAATCCTGGAAGATTTAGTTAGTCTTCTTGTATCATTTTGGTTTATTTATTTGAAATCTTTCAATTTCAACTAATACTAGACCTTCTGAATTTTTGTGATTTTATTAGGTGTGGACATTGCAAAAGCCTTGCTCCTGTAAGTGCATATCATTGTTGCCTTATTATTATGCTGTATCTTTTATCTTCTGCTAGAGCACTAACAGGAAACTTGTTTATGTCCTTTACTCTTCAGACGTATGAAAAGGTGGCCACAGCATTTAAACTGGAAGAAGATGTAGCGATTGCAAATCTGGATGCTGATAAATACAGGGATCTTGCTGAAAAGTGAGTTTAAGTGAGTTGATGGAGGCCAAAAACTAGAAGTGCTATTTTAGTTCAACGCTTAATTGTGTCTTTACAGATATGGTGTTAGCGGGTTCCCTACGCTAAAATTCTTCCCTAAGGGCAACAAAGCTGGGCAAGAGTACGAGAGTGGCAGAGACTTGGATGACTTTGTGTCTTTCATTAATGAAAAAAGTGGCACACATCGAGATGCAAAAGGACATCTTACTTCTAAAGTTAGTTATTCATATAAGCCAAGAAAAAGCAAGGGTTTATATTTTTATTTATTATTCTGAAAATGAAAAGGGGGATGACAAATGAGGTTGCATTTGATGTCTTACTGATAAATTTGATGTTCTGCTTAGGCTGGCATAGTTGAGAGCTTGGATTCCTTGGTAAAGGAGTTTGTGGCCGCGACTGATGAAGAGAAGAAAGTTGTATTTACTCAAATTCAACAGGAGGTTAACACACTCAAGGGTTCTGCTGCAAGGTACCTTCTCAATGTTACAGCTGCTCTATTCTTCTTCTAGAATATTTCTCGCGTCACCTGTCTTCTTCAATAATACTTAGTTCTTAAGCCTGAACTTCTGCATATGTTGACTACTTTACCCCTTTTACTAAGTAATAATAATGTGACAATATCCCTTCCATATCTTCAATTAGGTATGGGAAGATTTACTGGAAAGCTGCTAAAAATACTTTGGAGAAAGGTTCTGATTATGCTAAAAATGAAGTCCAGCGCTTACAGCGCTTACTTGAAAAGGTAATATTCTGTTTTTTAAGGGAAGTTGGCAGTATTAGGGACATCAAAGCATCTTTTGCATAAACATGCTTCAGTTTTAGATCAGTTGCTTCGTTCATTTAGTTATTGTTTTATCTCATTTATTCAATCACAGTAAATATTAAGATTATCTATTTTGTTGCTATATGTTAATTACTCGCGTGAAAAAAATGTGAGAAGAGAGCACAACTGTCGTTTCTGGGCCAAATATTCTTGAGGTGGTTTTAGGTTAATGTACTGCCAAAATATGGTTACCCTTGTAAGATCTTAATCTCTTGTTCTCGTTGTTGCAGTCTATCAACCCGGCGAAGGCTGATGAGTTCACTCTCAAGAAGAACATCTTGTCAACATTCGCATGACGTTGTTGCGCAATTATCAAATATCAACTTTGTTTTTTGTTGGAGATTGAGTGCCTCACCTCCCGCATCCTTTCTGACAACTCAAAATTTTGCGGGTCACTGATCTTAGTTATTTCTCCCCCTAAAATTTAAGTAGAATAGTCTCTCGGCCTTTAATGTATTAGAAAACCATTTGCCTTATTTTTAAAATTCGGTACTTATTTTTGCTGCTTAGTTATTTTCTTTTTTATATTTCATGTTTTGTTATGAACATACAGTTTATTGGCTCGTCTACTGGATAAATCTGATATATTTCAGATTGAAAAGATGCTGCCCTACTTAGAAATTGAGGATGCTATTGGAATTGGATGAAGGTTTGAATAATTACATGAAGTTGGGTGATGGTAAAATCATTTATGCAATTCGTGGGGAGATATAGAATTTGGAAAACGTCAGATAAATTATAATATTAATCATAATGGCAGGTGTTTAATCTTCCCTTTGATTACACGAAGCTATTTTTTGGCCAAAAAATAAAAACAAGGGGCTATTTTTGAAAAGACAACACATCTATATTGCAAAAAAAATGAAATACATAATTTTATTGCATTTTTATATTTATTATTTATGCGAAATATTTTTAAATGGACTTTACATTTAAAATTACGTTATTTTATTTTTAAGAAAGCTAGCTGCGCTTAGTAATATTAATGCTTCTTTGGAGCAATAAAACATTTTCCCAGACTGATCCATCCAACATTTAGCTTTTTGCTCGTCATATTTTACATAATAGATGTAAATTTTTGTACTTAGGAATATTCAAAATTAACAAATAATTACTTTTCTCGTATATTTTCTCTCTACGTTCAATGAAGAGACTAGTTTAGAAAGTCATGAAGCCGAACCCGTTGGCGATTGATACGTCAGTACCTACTCATATCTCGCACAGCAGCCAAAGCACAATTGAAACAGAAGCAATGGATTCAAGATGTAATTTTTGTTTCAGCCACTTTCATTTTAAGAATGGAGTCGGGGACATCGAGGTGAGATGATAACCTATGGGCATGCTAATCTCAACATCAACGCGGCAAATTAACAAAACATGCTCAACAGGGCAGGCCGTCGTGAAACCATAAAAAATGTTGGGTAAGATCCAACAATCAACGGCCATCACCTAACCCCCCGAATCAGCCGATTTGACATTCATATTTAACACACTGCTTGGTTTCTCTTGGTTAAACTCAGGCTCCAACATACCCATTGAAGGGCACTCGTCAATTTGACACTCTCTATAGTCATCCAGAGACTTCATAAACGAACATGGCCGATCCTCAGGATCACCAGGAGGCTGTGCTCTCATCTGCACGGATCGCAGCAATGCAGCTCTCCTTAAATCAGCCGAGTGGCATATATCACTTGGAGATGATGGGAACCGACCCTCAGAATCTGAGCCCCGTTGACGAGGCTGCGGCACAGTAGAGCCATGTGAAGCATTTGAACTAGAGGAAGGTGCTGAAGAGAATGCACTGAGAGGCCTTTGGTAACGGTATGGTGAAACAGGACTCGTGGGACGACTCTCAGGTTGGGATGAGCAGCTGTTTGTAGTAGTCTCACAATACCTTGATTCATCTGAGTCCTCTGACATAGGTGAATATTGTGAAGACATCTCATCTCTGCCAATGAATTTAAAGAACAAAAGGTAGAGTCGGGGAAAGTAAAAAGTTGCTGAGTACTGCAAAGTAACACAGTCATTTTAAGCAAAAAGATTTGGCCGTTCACAGTTGGCGCTGCTAACTTCTCATTTTCCATACAAGGTGTCCGCTGGACTAGCTTATCACTTAGAAGAAGACAACGTGAGAAAGAATCACCACTTCATGAACCCATTATTAACTTCCACCGTCGGAAAATAGCTAGACATATATATAGAAGAAAGATAAAGTGATTCCTTTTTTACATGCTGATGCCAGAAATCTAGATAAACCAAGTTATGTTTACTGGAAAGCTTTATCGACCTCAACTATTAACCAAAAATAGTCAAAAAGTTTTTTTGCAGCATATATGGGGACATAATTAGGATTATATAGGATAGGACACATCAACTTTAAGAAGGAAAAAAAGAGAGATAATAATGCTTGTTTTTCTTAAATGTAAACATTTACAAGTATAGATAAATGTTCAAGTGTTTATTGTGAAACACAGATGCATGTGACAAATATGACCATATAATGTTTTCACACCAACGAACATGCCTAAAGATTAAAGCCACTCTGCATGACATGCTGCCTGAAGTATGGGCTTAAAAGAAAAAGAACGTTACTCAACACCAAGCAAATTCAGCTTGTTCAGATCCTCCACGTTCCAACAATCCACCCTGTTCCCTGACACTTCTTAAGCTCACTTATTAAACAATGATTGTTGATATCTTTTCTATCTCGCCTTATGCCCGTCTGATCTTACACTGTGCTCTCGCCTTATGCCCGTCTGATCTTACACTGTGCTACCGAGAAATTGGAAATCCATAAACTCAACATATTCATCACTTACCCTCCCACTCTCAGCCTGTTTTCGTCATGCCCTCTATAGAAATATTAGAAATTCAAAGAGTTCATAGATTATATATAATTGTAATTAATTCTCAAATCTATTTGCATGTGAGCTGAGTCTGAGCCAAAGTCTCACTCACCATAGTTGAAAAGTTGTTGAAAAGACAAACACAAACTGCATCATCAATTAGCATACTGTATTTATCTATCCATCATTAATAAGAGGCCATTTCAGAATACAACTTACTAAGTGCTTCACAAATCCTTTTGAAGGTTGTAACTATGTTTGAGATGCAACATGTCATAAGTTCAAGTCGTAATTGTCCCCGTTTTTACCTCAAACCCACAGAAGGGAAAATATTAAGCACACAAGAGGAAGTGTTTGACCTTAAAATCAAGGGAATTCTCATGATCTGAATGATTGTATCAGAGTTTCTGGCCACTAATATTAACAGGATGTTATGCCAACATAAGCCCCAGACCCAAGGCAGTGTTAAATAGATTTCTATGGCACATAAGCCTACAAGGTTAGGTTTTTTCAGGAGAAAGGAAGTGAGTGGTTGTGCCTGGGTGAAAATCTAGGTTTCCATGATGTAATTTTTCCACAAACCTTCTGCTGCCTCGGTTAATGCAACATGCAAACCATTTAGCAATGCACACAATTTATAAAAATAGAAAACATACTTGAAAACAGACTAGAATGTAAGATTTTTATGCAATACCGAAAGTGATTATACATGAATGACTAACGAATAAATGCTGCTGACATTTATGAAATGCAAATCGGATAAAAGTATACTAGATGAGATCCAGATGAAAAATATTAAAATCTAGGGTTAAAAGTCATTTTTATTCTTAAACTATATATAAAGAGTCACGAATGCTCCTACACTGAACTATGCATCAATTCTATTTCTTGACTTTAAATATTCCCTCTGTTACCCTAGCGTTAAAAACACTTAATGTTCATTGGTCATCAATGAGTCCCACTATTTTTTTAATATTTTTTATCAAATTAAGGGTCATTTTTGTCCCTTAACTCAAATATTTTATAATAAAAATACATTAAAAATATAATGTGAGGACTCACTGAGGGTGAGAAAACTATGATGAGAAATGGAATCTTTAAAATTAAGAGACAGAATTAACCCATGATTGAATTTAGAAATTTGTGAACTTTTGTATACAGTTAAGGACAAAAATGACCCTTAACCCTAAAATCTATAATAATGCATGATGTTTCTACAGACAGACAGAATTCACCCCTAGAGACGCCAAGAAGATATCAAGAATACCGATAATGGCAGCAAATGGTAGTACTGCTTTAATTACCACATGAACAATAGTCAAAACATTAATGAATCTCGTTAGTATTCAAAAACGGCAGCCGAAATGCAAACTAGAGAACGATATAAAACCAATACTGATAATTACCTGACAGAGAGCATGCTATCAGACCTGGCTGGAGATTCCAGGAGATTATCAGGAAGCGAGTCGCCAACTGTCAATCCATTTAAACTAGATGCCATTATCTGTACAAGAAAAAGAGAAACAATGCAGCGACTTCAAGTCTCAAATTCTAGCTCATTCATTGTGGCGAAAAGCAAAATAGTTTTAAAACTGGAAAGGGCAACCTCGATTCAAAAGATATAAGCTTTGAATCAAACATACAATCGCCAAATTATGAAACAGCCAACAATTTGAAGTTATTTTAATTAGAAATAAAAATGACTGCAGGTAATAAAATATAAATAAACCTAGTGTACATTTTATATAATAATCTGTATATCAGTCATATAAAGATACGATAATGGGACAAAATTGATGAAGCGACATGTGCTGCGAAACCAAACAAGACCTAACCTCACTGAGGTAACGCTTGTGAGAGTGAAAATTGTCGAGGTAAACCTCCTCTTCAGGATCTCGGGTACGCTTGCTACTAGGCGATGATGTTGAAGATGATCCAGCCAAATTTGATTCAGGACCCATCGTTGCGCCTATCTCGTTCAAACAAATAACTCAGAAATGACGTTTAATTTAAGATTTCGTCTGGGACTCAATGGCTGAGACGTTGTCCAAGGAATTGCAAGGTCAATCTATGCCCAAGACAAGCATTTGCCCAATGTTCTGGGAAAACAGATAACCGACAGCGGAAGACATCGAAGCATTGGAGCTTGTCGAGAAGAAGCAGAGAAGTGGGAGCCTGGGAGATGCCCATGATTTCGTTGGTTGAGGCGAGAGGCGATAGGCGATATGCGGATATCGTTCCCTGGCTCGTGACGTCATAATTATGTTTTCTGTTTTTTAATTGCACGTTTTCTGCTTTTTATTTGAATAAAATGCAATTATGTCCTATCACCTTTGCTAAAATTACTTGAATATTATTTATTTTTTTTATAAAAAAAATAACAATTAAGTTAGAACAAATTTATATCAATTAATGGTTATTTTATATTAAAAATTTAAAAAATATTAAATAAATTATTATTAATTTATAATGAGTTATTGTTAAAATTTAAATAAATATTTATTAATAAAAAATAATATAAATTAATAAGCATTTATTTTTATTTTAACAGTAAGTGATCCTTAATTTATAAATTTATTTAAAAGGTTCTTAATTGTTATTTTTTCTTTATAAAATCTACCATTTAAACTAGTTTTCAATCATTTTAAAGGGAAACTCATAGTAGAGGACATGGGAAGAACTTTTATTACAAGAGGACCAAACAATTATTAAATTATTATACAATATTAAAGAACTTAAATATAATTAAAATTTATAATAAAAAAATAAAATTACCCCTCAACACACTGTCTCTTTCAACAACAATTTATCATTTTAAAAAAATAAGTCCTGTTTTATTTTAATAACAATTAATTTTTTTATTAATAATTTTAAAAAATTAACTTGATAGTGAAAATAAACAAGTATTATGATTTAATAAATAAGTTTTTACAAAAAAAGGTCTCATTTTTTATTTTAATAATTATTAATTTTTTCATTAATAACTCTAAAATATTAATTTAATAATAAGAAGAAAGTGCTATGATAAAAATAAGTATTATTTTCATTTAAAAAATGATCAATTATCCATCACAACAAACAAACAAACAAATAGTTTTGTCTTTTAACAATAAATTTTAATAACACTTAAGTCTGGAGTAATTCATAATTGTTTGGTCCTTATTTGCAATAAAGATTCTTTTCAGGTGATTTTCTCTTAAAAATACTTAGTTAAACACTCTAGAATATTTAGATTTATTAATTGAAATTGCGTTAAAGGATTTACAATGATTAATTTTCACTCATAATGTAGTTGACTACCTTCTCTCTCTAATTTTAAAAATTAAGAAAAATTTATTTTTTAATTTTTTAATTTTTAACTTATTTACAACTCAATTCTTTAACCATGACTTATTATAACTCAATTCTTCAATGATGACTTGTTATAATTCAGTCTCTTAACTTTTCTTACTTATAATTTGATCTTTATTTTTTAATATTTTTTAAAAATATTCTCATCTTATTTTAAAATACCTTCCTGCTCTAAAATACCATCATCTTACTCTTTAATGTGAGATCCAAATTAAGAGAACTAATGGAGAAAGGCAAATTTTATTGACATTAAAAAATTAAAGGACTGAGGCATAAACAAGTCAAAAGTTAAGAGAGAGAGTTATAGGCAAGTCAAAAGTTAAGAGACGGAACTGTAACGAGTCATCGTTGAAAGATTAAATTATAAGTAAATTAAAAGTGAAAAGATTAATTTTTTAAAAAAAATAAATTAAAATTATTAAAACTCAGAGTATATAATAATAATAAACATAAAATCATGTTGTCTAATTTAATCCTTATCTATTAATCTATCTTTTTTTTTTAAATAAAACTATCAATCTATCTATTATTGTTAGTTATTAATTCTAATTCTCTCACACTCCCTCTATATATATATATATATATATATATAAGCTATGACAGGCGGAAGGGGCAACGGGTAGCGTATATGGTGATCAAATTCAACGTTTGGCAGGACAGTGATGGTTCATGTTGGACCGCTAATTCATGAAACTAGTGCATGACCATTTTATATTTTTATCGCCTGCTTTATAATTTAGCACTTTATTAATCATATATGGATGGATGGATGGAATTTGTCACGATCTCAGTAACTCCATTTCAGCCGTAGCTCCTCACGATTTACAATCCATGCATATTTAGCAGACCCTGATCATAAATAGCACTAATTTATTTGCCAACCAATAATAAACGTCCCATGCATCGAACCGGCACTGATACAATTAAATTATATATTTTATTCCCGGTTCGTAAAGTTTTTAATTCTATGCGTTATTTCGGCCCCCAAAAAAATTGTATGCGTTAGGAAATTATATTAATCACCGCCACTAATATAGTTATATTATATTATATTTACACACACACACACTTTAATCTGTGTTAGAAATATTATGTATTTGAAATTTAAGAAAATTTCTACATAAATTTACATGATTAACAGATTTACATGATTAAAAATTCTAACATATAATGATATTTAAACATTTATATAAAAAGAGAGTATTTTAATCCAACATATATAATTTAATGGTTGAGTAGATGTAAATAGAATTTTTAAAATAACAGAAAGCCTGTGTTATACAATTTTTTATTTTAGAAGAAATTTGTACTGGTTTTAAAAATAGAAGTAAGATTCCTGAAATTAATAAAAACTAGATGGGACAACAATGCATTTCACCCCTTTTTTTTTTTTTGGTACGATTAATTACTCCTTTACCTATCATGAACGCGTTCCTGGTCTGGGCCAGCTGATTCGATGATGGCCCATAAGAGAAAACGGCGGATCCTTTAGTACTGGGTTTTTTGTTTGTACTTTTTTTTTTTTTAACCCAAAGAAATTTTGTTTGCATAGAATGTTTGATAATTTTCCCAGTGCGTAGATATTTCTCAAATCATATACTACCATTTATCTGCTTACCGAATTTTATTAAAGCATGTGAACAAATATCATTTTAAAAAATTAAAATAATGCAAAACGTAATTAAATAGTTGAAGATTTTTAATTTTTAAATAATAAAAAAGTACGTAGAACTTTATATTAATTTCTCTGCACACAATCTAATTTCCATGCATAAATTTTAAATATGATGTTTATATTGATATTCGTACAATCCCCCAGTACTATTTTCACCTACCCACCGTGAGTTTAATTGGTTATAATTAAAACCATTCAATGTTAATGCAAAAATATATAAGTAAATACTCCAAGCTTAAAAAACCTCCTCCAGATCTGCATTATATCTAAGTGATAACGTGGGTGCATGTGCAAGTTCCGTAGAGTTGGAATTACCCACAGCCTGCGCATGCAAGAGCAAGAAGTGTACCACCCCGAGAATAATATAGGACTCAGACAAATGTTTATGTAAATTGGTTTCATATATATGCTCCATTAGAAGGCCACCGGGGGTACACTCTGCTCTGTGTCTCCATTCGCGTGGCCAGTTTACACATATGGGAGAAAAGTGTTGAATGTGCAATGAAGAAGCAGGGTCAACTTCTTTGCGTGTAATTGCGTGGAGAGAATACATCTGCTTCGCGCGCGGATATATGGAGCACCAAGCAACGAACTTTTTCCGCACCCATATATAGCTACATGTATATTCCTGATCCATCCGATTCACGACCATCTTGAGGTGTTTCCATGCATATTAAAATTCTTGGTGGGCTGTATCTATCCGATGTGTGGTCATTCCTGGAAATCATAATGGAAATTGGGGTAGGGGGCTGATAGATCCAAATCGAAGCCAGCGTGCATAGAGGAAGGTTGACGCATGTTTTGACGCCAGACTCGACACGTACACTGATCAATTTGAATGCTAAGAATAACATCCCTCAACGTAGCCTCCTAATTAATCTAATAAGCGCAAGGAATCTTTATCGTATATTGGATTTGGAGTCAACGTAACAGAAGACCAATTCAGAGAGAGAGAGAGAGAGAGAGAGAGACGCGGCAAATGAAACGTGAATCTTTTCCGAATCCTCTGCCTCAAACCATTTCATGACTATGCACATCCATTGCTAGGGCATTAATTCGGTAATTCCAGTGATAACTGCCTCCCATTTTTAATACAATCCACCACTCCCAATGGGAACCACCCATAGTTTGCTGACCTGGCTCCCTCCGTATAAATACATAATTTTAATAATGAAGCAAGGAGCCACAAAGTTATATTTGCTCGCCTGACATTGTTTCGAGAGTCATCCCTCTCGATTCTGCCCTGCCCCTTGCAGGGTGGGATATCGATATCTCACCTCCGATCGCTCGCTCCCCCGTCCATTATTAATGGAGCAGAGCAAGCCTTCCGAAGCTTCCGTCCCCGTCACCGCCCTGGACCGGCCTCATCATCATCACGACGAGCCCAAGCCCTGCCCCAAGCCTCCCAAGAAGAGGCGTGGCCCCTTGTATTTCATCAAGGTCGCCCTCTTTTTGATGACCAGCGGTTCCGGTAAATCCAAAGGCTCCACTCCCTCCGATTCCAAGAGCCTGTGGAGGAAACTGGTGGGTTCCGTCAGACCTTTGCACTTGCAGCTTCAGCAGGTGGCGGAACCGGAGGCAAAGCGGCCCCTGCCGGCCCCGCTCACCCACCCGTCCCCGGCTCGCACCGAGTTCAGCGAGGAAGCCTTGTTCTCTCCGACGGCCGGGAGCTCTCAGTCTAACTCCGGAACACCGTACTCGTCGGCGGTGGGCCTGGATGAGATGGTGCAAGGCGAGCAGGAGAAGGAGGCGCCGGAAGAGAGCGATGCTGTGTCTGAAGATGGGGACGGAGATCGAATGATTGATGCCAAGGCTGAGGAGTTCATTGCTAATTTCTACAACGAAATGAGGTTACAGGGCAAACATTCCGTAAACTAGAGATCTCTACGCTGACGGACCATGTGCGTCCATGCATGTATGCATGCCTCCGTATTAACCTCCTCAAATTACCTACACCGCATGCATGCAGGGTTCCAGAGGATCTGTCTTCTAAACTATATTATTATTTCATATTCCGCACCTAATTATATATGCGCACTTATTTATAGTCATAGCGTTGATCTGTCTTTTCCTTGTTTCGTTTTTTTCTGGTCGGCGCGGGTTCCTCATGGATACAGTTTTCGGTCGTATATTTTAAATATCTGCGTGATCGATCTACGTTGTGTTACTGAAGAAATAATGGAGATGTGGGCGGCAGCGTGGAGTTGTAAGAATGATATATATCTCTGTATTGAATCTGGAATGGAGAGATTAAATATCTGTTTTCTTTTTCTTTTTTGTTTTAACTCATTGTTTCTTTAATATGGAACAAAACACTGATGTCGGAAGGGAGATAGTGTCGCAGGCGTGGCCCGTGAAGCAGAACGGGCTCTGTAGTGTGTCTTTTCTGCTCTTATTTTCTGGATTCGATTTGATTCGGTGTAAGTTCTAAGTCGCAGCTATGATATGATGTCACGCTGAAGTCACCGGGGTTTAGGTGTCAACGATACAGTTAAGGTGTCAACCATACAGTCTCGTAATCTGTCATCTCGAATCTAGTTCATTTTCACTTATCAGTTAATTAATATCGTATTTGTCCTGCTCAATTGGAATTTAGCTCGATTTAAGAATTAGGTTATGCCCGTGAAAACATGAATTAATCAATTGGGTTAAATTTAATAGAGGATGCTAGCCTATCATAATACAAAAAGTTCAAATTCTTACATAAGTCAATATTTAATGTTTAATAATATCTTAAACATTATTACTTATAATAAGATATGAGTAGCAAAAAAAATTGGAAACCAACAAAAGTTAATTTAGTTGGTGATGATATGACCCGTTATAAGTTCGTAACTTATAAAATTGTGGGATTAAATCTTGTTATTGAAGTAACCTTGTTTCTACCAAAAAAAAAGTGATGCGCGCGAAAATACTAATTAAATGCTGAAATTTCTTTTTAACGCTGCAAATTGAGAACATGTTTCTAAGTGGTGGGCCAAGGGAAAAACGAACAAGTGGGTTATGTAAACATCAGATATCGTTGGTTCAAACCTTGGCACTAAACGCATGGAGGCCCATAACATGAACCGCCTCTTCGGGTACGCGTAAATGTCTCTGTTATTTTCTATTATCTTTGGTCACTCTTTTTTTCAGTAGGAAGAGCAGAGTAGGCGTGCAAACAACAAATGTACATTGTTCTCTCTCTTGAGACATTGGTGGCAAAGAAAAGGAATAGGAATATCTTACTTAAGTTATTATATACTCCCTTAAAAAATATAAAAAAAATTAATTAAATTTTGCCCTGTAATAAGATAGTTATTTACTTCTGTAATAAGATAGTTATTTACTTTTAAAATTAACAATATATTTTTATATTTATTTTTATTAAACATCCTATAATAAACATAAATTTATTATTAATAGGAATATTTTAAAAAATAATAATAATTACACCTCGAAAAACAAAATGTCTTATATTTTTTAATATCTAACTTCTCAAAAAATATCTTATATTTTTTAATGAAAGTATATAAGAATTGAAACTTCAATTTAAATTACTTGTTTACAGAGTATTATCATTTTCGTTATCTTGCATTTATATATTGACGTTGATCCGTGTAACAAGAGAGAGGCTACAATAGTGTAGGGCACATTCATGCTCTATCACCCTTCCACACACAGACAGAACAGAACAGTGGATGAGAGTTGAAGATACAAGGTGACGAGTTCAAACTTCAAAGAATGAGAATTCCATTCCTAGCTAAAGAACCCGCAGATTGATTAGCTTCCCTGCGCATAAATTAATACAACCATCTCAGTCCAACACAAGCGTTCCATTCTAGCTTTTCTTCCATCATGTCTTCAGAATTTACATCTGATTACGTTTTTCGACTAAATCTCTAAAATTTCCAACCAACATTTGATTTTTTTTGTTTAGCGGTCACAGTGTGCAAGAAGCCAAGAACAACTAAAAAATTGAAACACCTCAGTCCTTTTTAAAAATATCAGAATTTTCAATTTTTAAGTGTAAGTAAAGAAATGCTCGCCGACAATACTGTATAATTGAAGTGTAATTGAGGACTTTAAACGTCCTCAAATGTCATTTTATGCTACATCACGGACTGCTAGCTGTAAACACGTACAACAGTCTACTTTGTTGCAAATGTGACCACGTGAGCATGATCAAATAGCCAAATACAGAGAATGAGAAAAATGTGCGACGTGGCACAATCCTGACTGGCGAATGATATGGCTGCAGGCTAGATTCGTTTTGGTATTTCGTTGAAGGTAGCTACGACTTGACCTTGTACTGATGAGCCTTCCCCTCCACAGCGTTGAAGCTCGACTACTTGGCCACCACACCTGAGCTGGAAACGGAATCGAGATCTTTTTCGTCAATCTACAACATTGCTATTGTTTCTGCTGATATTTAAGCTCAGTCTCAGTCTTAGTCAATCTTATACACTTTTTGCCAAACTGGGTCCCTTGATCATCCAATGCCTCTCCAATTGGGAGGTATTGAATGCTGAAAGGTTATAGGTTTTATTTGTTTTACTTAGTTTGTATTTGGACTTATCTGTGTGACTATATTTGATCCAGTTTTCATTCAAAACAAAAAACAGATATCAAATAAAGGAACGAGACTTGAGCAGCCACCTAAGAGTCACTTGAAATATAATTAATTGAACTAATTAAGATCAAGGGACTCACTGCTTGGAGGAGGAAGAAGGAGCTATACGAGCTAGATTCTTTTTAACTATGATTAAAGAAACAAAATTTTGGCCTTTGCAAAGGAGTGTGTTGTGATATTTTAAGTTCGTTAGATCTAAAGCTGAAAGCCGGTTCAAACTTGTAACTCACAGAGTCACAGTGTTATGAATGCTTGTTTTGCGATCTGAAGTTCATGTGTGAGTAGAAAGCTTTTATCAATTGTGAAGAGACCGCGCTGGAAGGTACCGGGCGTAAAAATCTAAAAGTGGAGCAAAAAAGTACGAGAGATTATTGTTCCTACACTTTTTGGCTATGACCCATGATGACACGCAAAACACTGGCATTCTACCTGTTGAAATATGTGACCCTTTTATACGGCGTCAACGAGGGGAACAAGGGGATGCATTATGCATTTGCATGACGCGAGAGACAGAGTCGGATCTCGCAATTGATTCATAAACTCCACATATTCATCACCAATGCGTAATCCTTGAAACTAAACGGTTATATAAAGATAGAGATGCGGCATACATTGGCAGTGTATCTTACTGCTGGAAAACAGAATTGCGCATTCAGAATGAAAACGAGGAGGAATTGCTAATCCGAGAGAGACAACTTCAGATGGACGTCAACATTAACACCCACATCCCTCTGTGGCAGCGTAGCAACATGATGAGAAGGCGATGATTGGAGTTGAAAAGGAAACCTAGTGGTGGAAGAAGTGGTATAAGGCGAAGGAATCAAAATGGGAGTGGATGGGAAGAACAGGCGTGGAGGTTGATGCTTGGAGGGTGTGAAGAAGCGCCGGTGATCGGAGTGGCCGTGGAAACGCCTGGCTCGCTGCCGCTCTCTCTTGTGAGCGTTCTGGTGACCTCCTAATGCCTGAGAGTTTGTGAATGCTTTCCGGCAATAATGGCACCTGAATTTCCTGTCATCTTCCACTTCATGATCTCTCCTTTCTCCAGATTCTTCCTGTTCTGTCAGTGGGAAACCGAATAGTTTTGGTGCTTCTGCTGCACGGCGATTATGATCAGACATGATTCTGTACCTGGCTGCCGCTGCACATGCACTTGGAAAGCCCAAGATGATGCCCTTTTATAGACCAGTTTGGGATTATTTATCTCTACGGAGATAAGACACAGTCACCACGCACACATGTAATTACTCTGCAATACTTTGCCCTGTCACTTTGTGTGCCCATACAAGTGAGGTCAAACGTTAACGTGACTCTCGTAGTTGGAAGCTCTGGCCTTTTTCGTTTTTGGTGACTTGAGTTCTCACTTGTTTTTGTTAACGGTAACAAAATAAATATAATACATAATGCGATGTGATTGGCGAGAATTGGAATTGCAAAGCTGGAGATATATTGAAGGTCGGGACCTCAAAAGCTGTCTCCATTTACTTTGTTTTATTCTTTTGCTATATACCTTGGATCGGGTAACCAATCAACGATCAACAAGTGAGATAAAGTTGCTTGCTGGCTGGCGTCAGAGAACGATACATTTTTCCTTTGAATTTTGAACCAAACACGTGAATGACTTTTGTGTCCAATACGGTTATCACGTACAATACATGAATATGCTCGCATGTCTATCATCTATGTAATCATGTGCCATGGAGTTAATTAATCCCAACACTTTTGGTAAAAAAACAATAATAATAACAATAATTATAATGGTTATTATTAATCGCTGAACTAAAGAAACTGGATTGGCGAAGGTGTCAGATGACAGAAACACCAACCATGCTGACCAGGATGTACCAAGCAACCTCACGGGTGTTTTAGTTGTTACAGTACCTGTACTGTCTCTGTTTATTTTTTTATAAAACTATATGGTATCCTATATCATTGGACTAAATTTGAGTAAATTGGGGTCTAATTGATTGTTTTCCTTTTATTTAAGCATTAAGTCTTTTTTGCTAGATCTAATTACTATTACTACTTGGGACTATATTGTGTTGATTATTTTAAGTATATATAGAAGTAGAAGGGATCATACCCTGACCCACAGTAGCCAACCGAGCCAGCCACACACTGACACACAGCCACTGAACCTACAGTGATACAATTAATCAAGGGGTGGAGTGCCTTCTAGTCGTTGATTTTTTTTTTTAAATGGAATAGCTTTATTTCTAAATCATTGACAGTAAAACAAGACCTATAGATGTGCTTAACTTTGTCCTGTTCTTGTTTCAGTAGGATTCATCTCTGCGTCCATATCGATGGGGTCGCTCTGTCGCGGGCGCATTCATTGAACTCATCAATTTCTCTACCAGTCCTTGCTATAATCACATGCTTGGACCAAATTACTCGGGATAGACTTTAGAACATTAATCAAGCTGGTTTGTTCTCGGTGGATTGAGGCAAAGGTTACAGACTTCAATTCCCAGTTCCGGCGGGTCCAGCTCCTCCATGAGAGACATATATCACAGGAGCTGTATTTGCAGCTGCAGAGGATGAGGTGGAGAACATATATGTCAATGCATGTATGAAGTTTGGTCTGGTTAAGAATTGATAGAGTGGTAGTCTGGTAGAGACAGCATGTGATAAACGGTGGTAGAAAGCTTGATTGAACAGCTCTCACTAGTGGTCAAGCGAATTGTAAGCACTACACCATATAAATTGCCTCAGTTCAGCGTATATATAATAATATGCGACTACGATAGCCGAACTACTAGTTGAGAAGTATCAATTGGTGCAGCTTTATTCAATATAAGCTATATAAATAGATAAGATACAGGCATATATTCTTTTCCGTCGTCTTGTGGGTTTTGATATAGAATCACTGTGACGAGAATGACCTTTTGGCGCGCGCACTCGCCAACATGGAATGTCTAGATAATGAGAGCAAAAGAAGCACGTGAAAGCTTATAGCAACAAGAATAAAGAAACGGTGAGGAGATGAAAAAGGCGCTAACAGAAACATAAGTATAGCACACGCAAATGGAGGGCCAGTTATAGGAAAGGGCATAGAGCAACGAAAGGAAGTGTTGTGGAAAGGGCGACACGTGGTTGTACGTGGGAATGTAAAGGTATATATTAATTAAGTAAACAAGGACGAGATAAGATGGGTGTCAGCCACTAAGACACGCATGTTCAGCTCGCATTCTCAGCCCTTCAACGAGGTTTGGACGATGATGACTGTGTCTCCGTACCCTACCTATCTTCATCGACGCTTGCTTTTCTCCAGAATGTGTAATAATAAATCTTAACATTGCTACTCTTTCTCCATATCTTTCTGCAGTCACTAGTTGTCTCCAACAACATATATACCTTGTTTAGTTTATAAAAGTGATCATCAGGGGTATCCGATATCTTGGACAGAATTAATAATTAGGTGTGCTTGTACTGGAAGTGATGGCGTTTTGTTTGGGGGAAGGGGTTCAAATGGCGTCAAACCGTAGGTGAATGATTTGAGGCCATGTGGGATTGTACGTACTTTGGGAATTTGGAGAAATATAATGAGCCCCCACCTCTGAAATGGTGTCAAATCTTAGGTCAGTTGAGTTTACTACTAACTAGTATGGTGTAGCAGTAGCGTATGGTGGAGCATTGGCCCCGCTATATATAGAGTGCATCTTCAATTTCATGCGTGTATCTGCTCTTTTCTTTTTCCACAGGGTGGTATCATTCAAAAGTGCTACCCTAGATCTAGTAGTATATATGAAATCTCCCAGATATCATAAGTTATCTTGAATTTTGTATTTTGCTTTGTTCATGAATGCTCGGGACATCCAAGTACAGCAAATGTCCCACCCCCATCTTGTTTCCTGAGCTCCGTCTTTTCTTACGCATTTTACTTTTCAAAAGCTTCCTTCATTGAACTCTTCTCTCCAACCCCATTCCACCTCATCCTCCAAAACAATGCTTTATTTTCTTTATGGTTTCAACATAATTCAGGGGCACTGACATGATTTATAACTTACTTTGACGTTTTGGTCACTGTTAAAAATCTAATGAAAAATGATGGTAATTTTCCGGAAACTTTACGTAGTTTTGTTTGTGCGTTGTGTGTGTGTGTGTGTGTGTGGAGTTGTCAAGCTTCTCAACAATAAGGCAGCAGCCGAATCTCTTGTCTGCCCACGAATATGACAGTTCTTGTTTTGTTCTTATTCTTATCATCTGGCTTAGAGTCATAATTACCATCGTGCTTCTTTTGCTCTATTGAAATTCTGACCAACAAAGCCAGGGTCGCATGACTCGTATCTCGCGAGGGATATGGTCATATATTGGTATCAAGGTTCTGCCAAAATACAGATTATATTCGTCAGAGGGAATGTAACTCATTGCATAACTGATGATCATCTATTAATTATAATTAACTTATTTCACTTGTATAAATTAATTGATAAAGCAGTTCGTATTCTAATTCTGATCATGTTCTTTTGCTTGATAATCTAGTTTAATCGTGTGTTTGATTCCTGGTTGAGAGCGTGATTTCGCAACCTTCAAGGCAAAGCTGCTCTCACATTGTTCGTAAACATCTTGATTTCCAAACACACATTAATACGTGCAAACTATGATTCATTTCAAATTGCATTTGCACGCGAGTGTGGTCAAACACAAAATTGAATCATTGAAGGCGCAAGGATTAGAAAGATTGCAAAATCCCCAAGGATGGCCCACACGAAGCCTTGATGGACCTTCAAAGTAGGGAAGTTGTACCATAATAACGCACGCAAATGATGAAGCAGCTAGACCTATCATTCTATGCGAAGAGATAAGCTTCCATTTTAATTGGAAAGAAAAGAAAGAGGGCTCGAGGTCAATATAATACGCTAGCTGTTGGGTGCTTTAATGCTTTTATTTAGCTTCGCAGTACTGTTGCTGGCCTTCTTACTAAGACAATGAATGATGTGATGCACAAGTTGAAAAACTCTGGTGATGTGTTTGTGCTCGTTGTTAGAAATAGAGGGAGGGCCGAGGCAATGGAGGTTACAAATCTTGGGAATGGATTTGGAGAGGGATGGTGGGGAAGCGTGGAGGTTGAGAAGACCCAATCCGGAATTCATGTGATTTGTAAGAAGGCTCAAGACAATCGTACGCTCATTATGAATTACTTATAGGGCGGGCCCCTTGTCTTTCTTTCTGCCTTCAAATAAAGTTCAAACTGGTACAGTTCCACCCTTCATCTTCGTTCGTATGACCTTTCAATTGCAGCCACAGCCCTCGGGGACGGACGCGCACCGGAATCACCCCTTTTAGTTTCATCTCCGCGCAAAGGAATCCTGTTAATACTTGCAATAATTAATAGCAAGTGTTTTAATATATTTGTTATATCAAAAGGTATTATAATCCAACCAAATACAAATATTCCTTCCTTCCTCTTACTTCACATACTGACCTCATTCCATCAATTCTCGATTCTCTTTCCCATAAAAATATTCCGTGAACGGATGAACCAAACGAGCTCTATAACCAAGTTTGGTTACTCGCGTCCTCACCGTGAAGAATGGAATGGCATCAGCATTGCCATTGCCAGTAAAAGACGTGCGATTCATCTGCCCAAGCTCCCTTATAACAACTGTAATGAACCATCTTGACTTTAGAAAAACGAGAGAATCTTATTCTAATTAACACACTTTTTGTAATCGTTAAATCTTTAACACATACTAGATTCGTCAAGAAAGTTGACAAAGACAACTCCCAGGAGGATCGAAAGGCCTAAAGAGGATCCACGAATGTCACCAAGATTATGTACAGCTCAGACTCAGATCATACACGATTGTAGCGTGGATATTGAAATATAATGTTAATTCCTAGTAAGATATCTACAAGAAAGTATATATATACATGCCATCATCTTTACAATTTTATATATATGCCTTTCTTGTGAAGCAAACCGGAACATAGACCCCAGAATAATATCTCAACCACTACAAAGACCAGCGTACCCCACTTTTCGGAATGGAATATGATCTGTAAAAAAGCTTCCGTGCCGTCAACCTGCATAACAAATAAACCGAGTTAAAGAGAAGCTAACAATCATTCATGTGAAACTCTTCAAAGTAACAATGCCACCCCAACCCCAAACGAAAAACCTTGAAAAATAATGGAAACGGAAATGCACCTGTCCTGCGACAACTAAATATTTCCCTTCCCAATTTGCAGCTTTCATTTTTTTTGAAAAAAAAAAAAATTCCACTTTTATCTCTGATAAACACCCCATAGGACATTGGTCTTAACTTTGTATCATTTGCAGTTCTATATTTCAATGGTACAGTTAAAGAACGACAAAGCTTCCCGGAGA